GCCTTTTTCGGCTCAGCGGTTAAAACCCGCCAAAATTTGTGATTTCTAGTGGAAAATTATTTTTTCGTATTCTGTAGCCAAAGAGGGCTGCGGTCATATGCCCTTGTGAATACTTGGATGAAGCCTTCTGTGATCCTAAAATTTTGAATAAATAAGATCTCAGCAGGTCAGTAGTGGTGGAGAAGACCTTTTCACAACAAAGGCGCAAGACAAGCCCACATCAAGGAGCAAGAAGGCATTTGATATCAGGAAAAGAGCATCAAGATGGCACAAGGTTACAAACCAGTTCCTGAGAAAGTAAAGAATTTTGAAGTTCACTGCGGGATTTCAGAAACAAGCACTGTACCGTCCAATCCCAAGTGAATCCTTTACCCAAAGCTCAAATAATGTTGGCAGCAGTTTGAGACGCACTATGACCAAGTGTGAACTGATGCAAAAAAAAAATGAAAACGCATCTCTTCTTCTTTCATGTTCATGATTGAGGGGGGGGGGCGTATATAATGTTTTCAGTTAAATTCTGAAAGAGATTGATATAAAATTAACAAAGAGGACACTTTAATAATTAGGAATTAGTAATATCTTTATACAACTGATCCAGTGTATTGGGATAGCGAAAAATGCCTTCCAAAAGCTAAGCAAAGTATTAAGAAACAGGAAAATTTTGTTAGAAAAAAAAGAAATGAGTACTGAATTGTTACGTAATATCAGTCCTCCTATATGGCAGTGAATCGATGAAGAAAAGATTTGAAGCAGCAAAAATATGGTACTACAGAAGGATGTTGAGAATACCAATTGAGCAGCGACACAGTTTTAGAGAAAACAAAAAGAAACATCAGGAAGAGACATTTCAAATTTCTAGGGTACATAATGAGGAAAGAAGGCTTGGAAAATATGATACTCACAGGAGAGATTGAAGACAAGAGAGGCAAACGAAAACAATGCTTTACCTGCCTAACGAGCTTGAGTAAATGGTTTTAGGGAAGATAACAAAAGGACAAAATTTATTGAGATACAAAGGACGTGATATTGTGGAGAACACTGATGGTCAACATCCTAAATGGACATAGCACATAGACGTAAAGGAATATTATAAAGTAACCAAAAAAGACCTTGCCGTTTTTTACGCTATGTGGCAAATGAGTACGTCACGTGTCGGGAAAGCGGCGAGGTTGGGCGCAGTGCTCTTGACCAATGAATGTGCGTTGCGCACACACATCAAGCTAAAGGAACGAGGAGTTATCATGGCGGTATCGAAGCAGCTCCTTCGGGGTTTATGGAATGAGTTTGTCGGCAGCCGCATCAAGTCGTCGAATGCATCAAACCTTGGGGGTAATGATGTTAGTGAACGCACTGTCAAGCATTGGTTCCAGAAGTTCAGGTCAGGAGATCTGTCCCTTTTTGATAGTGGCCGGCCACAGGTCTTGGATAATGAGGACCTGAAGGCGGCCATAGAAGAGGACAATAGCAGTGGAACCTAAGGATCACCAGTTTCAGGACAGAGAACAAGGATTTCACCATTCTTCGATATGGAAAACAGGTTTCTCTACTGCAGAGCTTCTTAAATGGACCAAAAGTATAGGAAGCATTTAAGTAATTTTACCACGGATTCCTTGGTAACGCACAGGTACCAGATTACCAAACGTACACCGAGAAGTTGTTACTGTGGTTACCTTGCTGAACGTTTCCAGGTTTCTGATTAAACAATTAGACTTCATCTGCACCGCATAGGAAAAGGTGTATAAATTGAGCAAAGTGGGAACCCCACACACTTTTGGAAGTCAAGTAGGAACAACGAATGACAGCCTGTTTCTTGTTGATTTCTTGACACTGCAACGTAACCATATTTGATTAAGTGCTCACCAGTGGCGAAAAGTGGGTCCTGTATGACTCTCTCAAGCATGTTAGACATTGATTGTCACCATAGAATGCTGTGCCTCACACCACAAGACCACCTCTACACCTACGTTAGATCATTCTCTGTATTTAGTAGACTAATCGATAAGTAGTGGACTATGAGCTGCTACCAACAGGCCAAACGATCACTGCGGCCGCGGAAATGTGTGCAACGGGTACTGAAGGAGAAGGAGTCAACGTTAGTTAATCGTAAAGATGTACTGTTTCTGAGACACGGTAGAGTAATGGATAACGGCTCGGATTCAGGAATCGGAGAGCCGAGTTCGAATTCGAGTCGAATCAATTACGTTCGCTTATGTGCTAATAATCTTGGGAAAGGTTCTCATCTTCTATCATTTCCTTCATTCCTCTTTTATTTAATTTCTTCACTCCTTTTTCCTTCTCTCGCCTTTCTTTTCTTCTCCCCTCGCCTTTCTTTTTTTCTTCTCCGTTTCCTCATCTTCTCCCACCCTTCTTCATTGTATGCCTTACCCCCTGGGAGCCTAACTTACCGGTTAGGTTACGAATGCCAACCGGAAGGAATCATCCAAATCAAGCTATATAATCACTACTTCTCCGATAGACAATACGCCATGCTAGATAGCTATGGGTAAATAGCAGGACAGACCGGGTTCTATAGCCTTGGATGGCAACTGGTCTACTGCAGAAAGCGATGGCAGCCTACTAAAAAATCTGCTTCGTCAGTCATGTTTCGAAAGATACATGATCGCATAAGCGTGTATCACGCATGGCACATAACTGACTGTACTGTTCCTCCGTGATAATACCATGTAGCTTAGGTGGCTAGGGATACCATACGGTGACTTGGCTGGGAGACACTGTGTCATTTATCTTACTCCCCGAACCTTGCGCCATTTCTTCTATTCACTGGACCAGCACCTTTGTGGGAAATCTTTCGCAAACAAGGCAGATTTGCGGCAGACACTCAGAATACTTTGCGTCAAGGACACCTTATTTTTACTGCCATGACATTGCACAGCTGGATGCACGTTGACAAAATATTCTGGATGCCGGTGGAAATTACTTTGAGGATTAAAGGTATGTCAAATTTGCTGCATTCATTTTTTTCCTAATAAATAACAGCAAGGAAAATTTTGACTGCCTTGTATATTATTAGAACACAAAACGTTTTGATCTAAAATCGGACATTATTTTCCGAACAGTCTAATAATTTCTGTGTGTTTCTTGGACGTTCACCGGCACTCTTCCATCGTGCCCTTGTGCTAGACGTATACTACACTCAGTAAATAGCCATAGCAGCTTCTGAAATATGCATGAAAGCGGCTAAACCAATGGTGCTTCATTTCAAAGTTTTATATAGATTTGAGGTCATAAAGATCTGACGTCATCAGCGGTTTTACCGCTTTCGTCCTCTGTACAACATAAGTAAAAATAGATTTTCGCAGGCTCAACAAATAAAGTAAGTCTCAGCTTTTTTTCGTTTTAATTTCCATCAATTTTATTTTAAAATGCGAATGCCATTACATCCAATGCTACTAATATAATGTAGACAAAGATAATAGCGTATTGTCTATCGGAGAAGTAGTGATTATATAGCTTGATTTGGATGATTCCTTCCGGTTGGCATTCGTAACCTAACCGGTAAGTTAGGCTCCCAGGGGGTAAGGCATACAATGAAGAAGGGTGGGAGAAGATGAGGAAACGGAGAAGAAAAAAAGAAAGGCGAGGGGAAAAGAAAAGGAAGGCGAGAAGAAAAGGAAGTCGAGAGAAGGAAAAGGGTGTGAAGAAATTAAATAAAAGAGGAGGAAAGAAGATGAAGGAAATGATAGAAGAGAAGAAGAAAAGGTGGGGAGGGGAGGGCAAGGGAAGGAGGAGAGCGACAAGAGGTGAATAAAAAGAGAGTGAAGATGGGGAGAGGAGAAGAAAAGGAGGGCAAGAGAAGAAGAAGAAAATGAGAGAGAGAGAGGGAAGAAGTAGAAAAAGAAGGGCGAGAGACGGTGAAGAAAAAGAGGTCAAGAGGAGAAGAATAAAGAGAGAGAGAGGAGATAAAAAAAGTGGGCAAGTGGAGAAGAAAAGGAAGAAGAGAAGGAAAAAGAGGTCGAGAAGAGAAGAATAGAGAGAGAGAGAGAGAGGAGATAAAAAAGTGGGCAAGTGGAGAAGAAAAGGAAGAAGAAAAGAAAAAAGAGGTCGAGAGAAGGAGGAGGGCGTGAAGAGATGAAGAAAAAAGAGAGCGAAAAAAGATGAAAGAAATTAAAGGAGGGGAGAAGAAAAGAAGGGTGAAAGATAAAGAAGTGTGGAAGAGATGAAGAAAGGGTTAGCGAGAGGAGACGAAGAAAGAGAAGGTGGGAAGAGAAGAAAAAATCGACAAGAAAAAAATGAGGAAAAGGAAGTATACTTTTAATTTCCAATCCGCGCTGGCTACTTTTATTCTTTTCACTCAGTTCTTTGAAATACTACATCGCAAATGCGGGTATCTGTATTACAAACAGAATCAGATTATATTGTTATTTACTAAAGGCTTTTAAGTCTGACTCAAGGCCATGAGACGAGTCAGTTATATGCCATACGTGATACACGCTTAGGCGATCATATATCTTTCGATACATGACTGACAAGGCAGATTTTTCTTGCAGTAGGTTGCTATTTCTTTCTGCGGCAGACCAGTTGCCCTCCAAGGCTATAGAACCCGGTCTGTCCTGCTATTTACCCTTAGCTGGTGGGGGGGGCGGAAGAAAAGGATTCATACTTTTTCCAAGGGTATTTATCACATAAGTGAATGTAATGGATTCGACTGTAACTCGAACTCGGCTCTCCGATTCCTCAATCCGAGCCGCTATCCCCCGTACCTCCTCATGAGAAGAGTAAATTAGCAAATTGATCCGCGAGGCAGGTTTGTCAACCATCGCCTTATTTGGAGACGCAAGCGGACTCGTTTAGCAAAATTGGATAAACTCCAAAAAGAAAAAATATATATCTATATATCTATATCTATATATCTATATATATATATCTATCTATATATATATATATGTATATATATATGGCTCTTTGCCAGTCCAATTTGTAGAAACTGGTTATTTACATTATTTATGAATTAGCGGTCATTTAGCGTAGATGGAGATACTGGGAGAAAGAGGAAATCTCTTCAAATCTTTGTTGGCAATTTTATTCTTTCAATTTAGATGGATTTTATTTATTCATGAAAGCACAAGGTTGAATATCGGGAGATGGGTTGAAAGGAAAGAGGGAATAAGAAGCATATATTCAATTGACCGGATGGACACTGCCTGGTAACCATTACCCCATGGCAAGACACTTCGATATTTTCTTTAGCTTATTCTGGCAGACATATCCAACTATAAAAGGCTGTCGAAACTGAGGCCAAAGATTCAAGGATATCTTTTTCTTTCACCTTTTACCTCAATCCTTGATGCTAATAATTAAACAATAAACCAGTTTTCACAACGAGGCTGACAGTTGCAGGCGTTTTGACTGGCGATAATCCAATTTTGCTACGGAGTTTGTTTAACAATAAAGGAAACAGAATCAGCGAACCGAGTTCAAATTCTGGTCAAGGCCGGTTGTATCTTAATTTGCACTAAAAACTCTAAGGAAATTTATGCATTTATCGTTTTTTTTCCCGACATGTCTGGTTTCACAGAGCTTGATAGCACCAGAAGACGAATATATTATTAATTTTTTTATACACGATTTTAAGTATTGGAGAACTTGGAGAGGGGAATTAACAGGAGATAACTGATAACTGACATCCATTAAACATGGCACGTGGAACTAGAACAGTGAGCGAAATAAAGGGTTCAGTTCGACATTCCAACCACCTGAAGAAGGCCGGGGCGTACAACGGCCGAAACGTTGTAATAAATATGGCGACCAAGATGAGGACAATAGTCCGAATAATGTAAATAGTGTACATAATACCCCATCTATGAAATATAGACAGATATTTTACACATGTTTTAAAATGACGTACACTCTGGTGAAAGATATTTCATTGTTTCTTTGACTATTTTAACTATTTCTTTCAAGGAGTACTGTATTGTATTTATTCTCCTAGACTATAAACGTCGCACAGCTGAGAAGAGAAGATCACTGATCATTTAAGCATTTCATGGCACCTTCCAAATGAATCTGCTAATAGAAAACATGCTTAAGAGGCCAATATACTGATAATGAGGGTGGGTAGCTCTGCTGATGACATAGATATTCATAGTTGGAATAAGAATGAATTTAAACAAGAAATCAACATCCATTAGTAAGTGTTCCAAGAATATTCTTCCGGACGTTGGTTATCATGGCTCTCCACAATTTCTTGTCTTTTTGCCATCTCCCCCAAACCCTGCACCGCCACCCATTCACTCAAGGACGCTAGGTAGTTTATGCATTGCTTCCTTTTGTTTCTTTTGCCTTCAATTTGTCTTGTGAGTATCAAATTTTCCAAGCATATTTTCCTCATTATATACCGTAGAAATTTCAACTCTCTTTTACTTAAGTATTCTTTTTGCTGCCTTTGTCTCTAGAACTTCGTCGATGCTCACATATTCAGTCCATGGTATTCTCAGCATCCTTCTGTAGAACTACATTTCTATTGTATCAAATCTCCTCTTCATCGATGGGGAGATTGTCCAGCATTCACTGTCATATAGGAAGACTGATATTACGTAACAACTCAATACTTATTTTATTTCTAACGAAATTTTCCTGTTTCTTAATACTTTGCTTAGCTTTGGAAGACATCTTTCTCTATGTCAATGAGCCGTCGGTTTTCCGTTCTCTGTTAATATGCTTCACAGATATCTAAATTGTTGCATTTGTTTGATTTCAGTATTAAAAAGAAGTGATACTTAAGTTTAAAAGTATTAAAAAATGAAAAAATCTTTTTTGAAGGTTTAATTTTAGTTTTTTTCCCAAAGTAATAAATTAAATTTAATATTCGTAATAAGCAAAATACTTTTTGATTGAAATGTTTTCCTCCTTATCGGTAAAATCTATAAATAAAATATATATTATCTATAAATATAACACGTGTGTTCCCTCGTCATTATCCCTCAATACTTCACTTTTATATATATATATATATATATATAGCGAAACAAGATAAGGAATTTATTTCCAAATTTATACATTTAAAGTTGTTAGTAACTTGTTTCAGGAAAAGGAAGAAAATATTTAAAGTTCGTAGTTTCGATAAATTGTTAAGAAGAGAAAAGGTTCATATTATTAAATCATTGGACACAAAGTAATATTCGAAAATGTTTAAAACAAATTGAGAGAGTTTGTTTTTCAGTGTTGACAGATCTGTCAGTATGGGCGAATTTATAGATTTTACTGATAAGGAGGAAAAAATTTCAATCAAAAAGTATTTTGCTTATTTAATCTATTAGTTTGGAATGAAAACTAAAATTAAAGCTTCAAGAAAGATTTTTCATTTTTTTAATAATGGATCATATATATTGTGTGTATTTTGGCAGCTTGTTTTCATTGAGACTATTTTCGTTGAATAATTTAGACAAGCTTTGTCTGCTTATTTTTTTTAAACAGGATCCATTCATATTCTCGGATAAGCTTTCTGTGTCAGTATTAAAAGAATAAGGTAATTTGCACTATTCTTTTAATACAACACCAGAAAGCTGATCCGTGAATATGAATGGATCCTGTTGAGAATAAGCAAACAAAAACTTGTCTAAATTATTCAACGAAACTTGCCACACACACACACACACACACACACATATATATATATATGTGAAAAGTGTATATAAATATAAATAAATATAAGTATGTATAATTATTTATATATTATATGCGCGGTACTTATTACCCTCTCACCCAGCACATTGAATATTAAACATCACCATATAAATTAACCAATAAGAATTACAAATTTCTACCTGTTACATATACACAGTCACAAAAAACAAACAAATAACCAGCTTTAAATATAACATATAAACCCCCATTTTTTTTCAAAAATTTAAAAATAAATACAAATAATAATAAATTTTACCTATCATAATTTTACACAAACCCCACCACACGCATATACATACAAGCGAGGAAATATTTTTCAGCGCGAAAACACTTAATATGACATGTATACAGTAACGAGACATTTCCGCCACACTTCCAATGTTTAAATTTCAACATTTCAACATACAAATGCGTATGTATAGATATAACACCACCCGCATACATACATGTGTCATAGCCGAAACTATAAATATATACTATATTCATAGAAAATATTCGTTCATAGACAGGATTCGAACCTGCATCCTATACGGAACCGTCATATACGCTGACGTGCCTTGACCACTCGGCCACCATGAACCTTATGGTAGACAAGGTCGAATTTACTGTTATAAACTACAATCTTCCATGAATCTCGTACATTCATAACTGCTCTGGCGTATCGAATGTAAACAAATGACGTCATATGTTAAGAAATGGACGAGGTCCGACAATTTATTTATTAAAGACATTTTTATTTATGTTTAACGTTGTTATTTTATAGATACAAGTATTTAAGCAAATGCTCTGTTTATGAACGAATATTTTCTATGAAAATTTCTCGGACATTCAGGCCGGTAAATGTTATTTAATACTGTTTATCATAAACAGAGCATTTGCTTAAATACTTGTATCTATAAAATAACAACGTTAAACATAAATAAAAATGTCTTTAATAAATATATATATATATATATATTGTTATGGTAATTTACTTACGCCCGCATGGACTCTCCCAGCTATAAATAGGAATAGATACTGCCTTTTGGAGAGGGAAGTTTCCACCAGTCAGCTCTGATAGTCGGACCGTACATCCTTGCTGTAACACTCTCATTTGTATATGTTTGTATTACTGTTTCTGTTAATATATTTGTTTAACTCAATTCCTCTCTGTGTGTCTTTATTTCTGGCCCATAACAACACAACATATATATATATATATATATATATATATATATATATATATATATATATATATATATATATATATATATCTGTGTGTGTGTGTGTTGTGGCCTATATATATATATATATATATATATGTATGTATGTATATAAATAAAAAGAAAGAACAGTAAGATATATAATCCGGTGTTCTTATAGATATTTTTATTTTTTATTTTTACAAAATAGTGCTCGATGTAAATTTACAGAGCATTAATATTATAAATTAATTGATTTAAAATATGTTTTTTTTCGCTACACAGTTCTAACCATGTTTCAAAAATATATATATATATAATATATATAATGAAAAAGTTTTTCACTTAAGTCATGTTTACTTCAATGTTTTGTAGTTACATAGATGCAACTACTCTTCAGAACATACACCCACATAAGCGCACATATAAACACAAACACACAGTTAGACGCGCACACACGAAAACAAACAGGCGAGTGCGTACATGTTTGTATATATGTATACATGCAGGCGTGCAAACGCACAAAGATACATATATAAACAAACAGTCGCACAATAATACATACACACAAAAAGATTTAATCATAACCTAAATGTTAAAAACAATGAAAAAACGAGATCAACGGAGACATATACAGTTAACACAAACACACATACAAACACATAATTAGATGCGCATGCGTGTGTACGTGCATGTTTGTATGTGTGCATGTATGTGTACATGCGTTCACAGGCATAGGCTAACAGACATTTATTTTGAATATTGGTTTGTCCCATATATAGGTACCTCCAACAATTTGCTAGAAAAAGGGGGGCTGAATCATAAAAAAACGAGCCTTTTATGTGCGTGTAATAACATAATGTATCGATACGAAAAATCAATACTCTGACATATAAGCACGAGCTATTACCATACATCCCACAACCTGTCTGTGCTGCTCTCGAACGGAGCTTTACTACTCTGGGGAGAAGAAAAAGAATTATTATTATTATTATTATTATTATTATTATTATTATTCCCAGGTTTTCCCGCCGCCTAGTAAATTCTTTTCTCCGATTTCCTCGGACATGGAGACGAAAAGCGTTTATCCTTTGGCCAACCCAAAAGGAAATATTCTCCGGTGTAACATTTGTGACAGTCTCGCCTGGATTAAGTGTCACACGTGTCAGGCTGCCTTCTACTGGTAAGTGACGTACATGTACACACACACACGCACACACATACACACATGCGTAACGCGCAAGTTCACAAGAAAATACGTAACAATACTCAGAAGCATCGTGGATATCACGTTCTTTATTACCATTTTTAAATTGAGTGATTTTCATTTGTATTCCTATCAAATGATCATGACAGATAGATAGATAGATAGATAGATAGATAGATAGATAGATAGATAGATAAGCTAGGTAGATACAAAAAACAGAAGAACGTAGATGGAAAGATTATTAACATTTGGAAGATGTGAACATAAAAAAAGTAACTTTTCTCTTTCTTTTTCTCTTTAGTTTTTCTTTATTTCTACAGTTTTTAAAAAAGGGTTTAGAATAGTCAAAACCCTTTTTTACGCTTACGTTTTTCCTTTTCACTTTAATTTTTTTCTTTTTCTGTCTTTGTTAAGTTTTAATTTCTTTTATTTTGTTCTTACCTTTCCTTTTTTACTTTTTGCTTTACATTGTCCTTTCTTTCTTTCCCTTTTACCTTGTCTTTCTTTTCTTCTCTCAATTTTGCTTTTCATTTTCTTTCAATTTTTCACTCTTCTTTCTTATTTTCTCTTCTCGACACACGCTTTCTTTCTTTCTTTTTTCTTTTCGTTTTTCTTTCTTTTTCTTTCTTTCCTCATTTTTACTCTCTTCTAAACCCTTTTTTACGTTTCCTTTTTCATTTTCTTTCATTTTTTACGCTGTCTTAATTCGTTTTACTTTGCCTCTTTTTTGCTTTTCATTGTCCTTTTTTTCTTTCTCTTTTAACTTGCCTTTCTTTCTCTCGCCCCAGTTTTTCTTTTCATTTTTTTTCTTCTTTCTCTTTCTTTCATACTTTCTCTTCTCTACATCTGCTTTTTTAAAAATTCAGTTTTCCTCTATTCTACCATTTCTTCTTTTACTTGCCTGTTTTTGATTCTTTCTTTCTTTCTTTTCGTTTTTCTTTCTTTCTTTCGTTTCTTTCTTTCTTTCTTTCAAGATTTTTTTCATAATCTTTCCGTTTTGTTGACTCTTATTCATCGAATGTTTTCTTTTTCTTTATCCTTATTTTCAAAAATAATTTCAAAATGAATTTACTTAAAATCCGTTTTCTCTTCTTTATTAATTCTATTATGCATCCTTTCTTATTGTTTCTTGTTTTGAATTAACCGTTACAAACTTTAAATAGAGTCTCCGTCATCGAACACAGAATCTTTTTTCTGATTCTCCCAACTCATGTGGACATCCTGTACAAGGAGGCCAAATCAGGCTACATTTGAATATCAAAGGTTACTAAATTTTAAATTTCATTCTTAATGACTGTTTAAGCTTCTTTTTCTCTGTACCCTGATCTTTCAAGGCGTGGGTGATCATGGCTATCCACGACTTCCCGTGCGCCCAGCAGTCCTTAGTAAAGTTTGTCTTTATACCAACACAAGCTCGTTCGGTAGGCCATGATTTGCTTTCCTCTGTCCCTCTGGCCTTCAAATATGCTCTGTGTCAAATTTTAAGCAACGTTGTTAAAAATAAGTTTGGTTAACTACTATTAAGAAACTTAATTCAACATTTACTAAAATTGGGATTTCAGATATCGCTACCTGTAACTAAAAGTGACACTATTTTTTTTTACTTGTAGAATATTAGCATTTAATTAACAGACAAGTGGATATTAAGTCGAGGATCAGTTTTGTATTACAACTGTCATAAACAAACCCCTATTTTGTGTCAATTGATTCCATGCATTTCTCTAGGCTTACGGTCACGTCACGTTTTAAACGCTGGCTTCAGTACGATCACCGAAGTTAAGCAATATCAAGCCTGGTGCGTACCTAGATGGGTGACCGTTTGGGAATACCAGGTGTTGTAAGCTTGGATGTGCAGGTAATGGATAATGACTCAGAATTGTAAATCGGAGAGCCGAGTTTCAATTCCAGTTGGGTTCGTTATATTCATTTACGCGCAAATAACCTTACGAAGGAACGGGAAACCCAATACTAAACAAGAAACAAAGGATAAACCTCTACTCCTGTTCAAAAGACCAGGAAGGAGTGTGAACCGGACGATAGGCGAACCTATCTACTCTTATTAAACCTTCTAAATGCAACTGGTAAATTTTCTAACAACAAAGCCTGTACTATCTGTCTATATTTCTTAGATGATTTATTTTAATTATTTATATTATTTATATTGTTCGGACTGTTGTCTTCATCTTTATTGCCATAATCATGACATTTCGGTCGTTGTACGCTCTGGTCTTCTTCAGGATCTGTCTATATTTCTGTGATGAGGTATTGTAATTATTTACGTTATTTACATTCTTCGGACTGTTGCTCTCATCTTTATTGCCACAATCACGACGTTTTAGTCGTTGTACGCTCCGGCCTTCTTCAGGATTTGTCTATATTTCTGAGATGATGTATTTTAATTATTTACATTGTTCGGACTGTCATATTCACAGTGGTATTATCACCTTGCTTGGGCTGAATATGGTGAATATGGCAATAAAGATGAGGACAACAGCTCGAACAATATAAATAATGTAAATAATTACAATACACCGGTGGTTAAAAGCATTGGTTGAAGTAATCCAAAAAGTGACTAGACTCAAAGAGTTGTGTGTTCAATGTCTGGTCAGAGAACAGGGAACAAAAACTTAGAGAATTGAGTTATTAAAGGGAATTAACTGAAATTAAAATATCCAGAAAAGGCATGGCACGTGGAATTAGAACAATCTACCCTGTGGACTAATGTACGGTTCGAAATTCCAACGTATATCACCTGAAGAAGGCCGGTGCGTACAACGTGCGAAACGTCGTGAATATAGCAATAACAATGAGGACAACAGACCGATCAATGTAAATAGTGCAAATATATATAGTAATAGTTCATGTTTGCCTATCATCCATATCACACTCATCCCTGTCTTTTGAACAGGAGTAGAGATTTATCCCTTGTTTCCTGTTTAGAAGTGGGTTTCCGGTCAGTGGCATTATCACCTTTCTTGGGGTGAATTGATTAAAAAAAAGATATACATTTTATGACACTTCTCGCCGGTCAATTCTGGATCAGTTCTTACGTTGGTCAATACTACCACTGGTCGTTCAATTTGGTCGTTTTATTCTGCACCTCTCTCCGCCCCACGTTGTGCTTTTTTTTTATCACGGAGCTGGCAAAGACCGAGTTTGCGTCAGCAATTGCAGCGCTGGTTCGATCACGGCGAAGCTATGTCACAAAGGAAAAATAAAAAAATGTTCTTTGCAGACGAAATAAAGAAATGACAGGAAATTCTTCAGGGTTTATTTTCTGCATGGTCGTTTTTTTGTACAGAAATATTAACTCCAAGTCTGGAAGAAGGTTTAAGTCGGAGGTTCTCTTTGGCAGCAAGTCACGTGGGGTCCGCAGCTTCTTCTGCTATCTGGTCTTATAATACAAAACCTTCTTAAAGAGGTCGCAAGTATAATATATATATATATATATATATATATATATATATATATATATATATATATATATATATATTGTGTGTATTTAGGCAGCATCTTTTCATTCATACACGTTTCATTAAATAATATAGACAAGTGTTGTCTATTTATTTTATGTAAATTTTTCGTAACGTCTGATAAGTTTAATAACATTATCGTTGAACGAAGAAAGAAATTCACAATATTGATCCATATTTTTTTAATCATTGCGAAGAATTAAGTTGGATATACTAGATTTAGTGTAGTATATGATTAATTTAATTTTTTTGCTAGGATCTGTAGTTGATATATTAGAATTTACTAAATTTTTAGTACATTTTCATCTTGTTTATAATTAGTATGCATTTGATTACGATATAAAAGATTAATATGTTTGAGATCAGTAGAAGCAGTATTATGTACAATTTGCTTAGTATTGAGATTTCTAAGAAAGCATCTTATTTGTTCATCAACTATATAGTTTGGAAAGCTATTATTAATAAGTATCTGTTTCATATTCTTTAGTTCACTGTAAAAAATCTGTTTTGTGGATGAATTAGTTTCTGCACGATGTATTAGATTCTTTATAATTGCTATTTTGTAGTAATATGGGCATTCGCTCTTGTAGTTAAGTGTACATGAATTTATGCTGGTAGGTTTTTTGTATGGCGAAATAGTAAATTTATTATTATTTGTGTTTATCAATATGTCAAGGAAGGGGATTTTATTAGTAGTATTGAGTTCATATGTGAATTTAAGGACAATTATTTTGGAAATGTTTTTGAAGTTAAATTATTTCATCTGTATTTTTAACTAACATAAGAATATCATCAACGTATCTTAGGTTCCATATATATATATATATATATATATATATATATATATGGAACCTAAAATGCGATACGTATTGCCTATTATATTGTATAGGCAATGTAACAAGGCAATATAAAAGTTGAAAAATCAAAGAATTAAGTAAATATTATGTGGATTTCTTTATAAACACGAAGATAAGACATTTCTTTTTCTTACCAGCAACAAAGAACACCAGGAAATCGACTGGAAAGGCATTCATGAATTGCTGTGTACGACTCTTCGAGATCTCTATGCCGAACCAAAAAGAGTTATTCGCAAAAACGAGAAAGAATTACTGCTGAAGAAATTACTTGATGCCAAAGTAAGACATTTTCTGTTTCTAAACATTGTTGCTTTTTTTTTTCTTTTAATATTTTCCTCTCAAGGGTTTTTGTTAGGGACCATGTCTGGCACTGGTATGTCAGCGTTGGTAGTAAAATGGTGTTAATGAGATTTGCTTTGTTGCTCATGGAAAGGCTAGGATGTTTTACCAACTCGCTCTTCTTCTAAAAAATCCTTTTTTTAAAAAAGATTTATAAAGAAAGTTTTAAAAATTCAGAAAATTAAAATATGCATCTATACACATATATCAATGGTGTAAACACAAGATTCAAACTTGGCATTTTTAAATAACAAAGTTGCGATAACTCTTTAAAAAAGTCAGAGATCGATTTATGACTGCATTCATATAATGAACAGGACACCCACTTCTAAAACTTACGTCAATATTATGTTAAAACACCGGCTCTCCTATGATCACCAAAGTTAAGCAATATCGAGCCTGGTCAGTACTTAGATGGGTGGCCACTTGGTAAAACCAGGCGTTGTAACTTTGGATGTGCAAGTGGTTTAATGGACAACGTCTCGGAATTGGAAATCGGAGAAACAAGTTCCAATTCCAGTCGGGTTCGTTAATAATTAAAAATACCCTTGAGAAAGGCATGAAACCATATGAGTTAATTAGTAGAACTTGTATCAGTAAATCGTTATTATCTCCAAAAGATTCTTACAATCTAAAAATATTTTCTGGCTTTAAATAACCTTCAAAATGTTGACAAACCGTAAAAAAAAACATTCAAAACCTAAATCGATTAAAAAAATCAATATTTTTCGATTAATGTCTTGGCTTGATGATGGTCTAAATGACGGTAATCTAAAAATATCAATCCTCGAAGATGTTTCTGTTATTATTGTTTTAGGGGACCAGTCTTCTTAAGTAATGCCCAATGTAGAATTCCGTTGCAAACGTTCAAAATATTTGTTTATATTTCCTCGGATGAGGTATTGTAATTATTTACATTATTTAAATTGTTCGGACTGTTGTCCTCATCTTTATTGTCATGTTCACGACGTTTCGGCCGTTGTATGCTACGACCTTCAACAATCTACTCCGGTGGACGAAATAAAGGGTTCAGTTCTAAATTCCAATAACCTGAAGAATGACAACAAAGATGAAGACGACGGTCCTAACAACGTAATGTTCAAAATAGTTTTGTAAAAATGCAAAAAATGTATCACAAAGCCAAAAATGAGGATGTGTTTGGTTGATCATCACTATATTATCTTTTAACTTAGCCAGTCACAATCACTGACTCATTCACACAAATAATGTCCCGAAGAACAAAACACCCCATTTACAAACCCCAGATTACATACCGCAGACATTTTTTTATAATATGAATAAAACGAAAAACAGTGGTGTTTGAAAAATAATTCAAGGGGAGTAACCCTGTTAAGCCTTAGACACTTATCTCCCATATATCAACATTGAAGTTTTCAAATTGAAAATTTAAACACCGATAACAAAGAATTACCCACATAGCAATTCATGAAGCAGTTGAAAATGGCAGTGTTTTTTACCGTCTCTCCTGCATATTTCGACAAAAATAATTTACGACTAAAAATGCAATAAGAATTCGTTTAATCAAGTTTTTGTTGAAGAATAGGTCTGTCTGCCTATTTTTTTTTTTAAAGTTTTTCAAATTCATCGAAAAATTTGTTTTATACAATCGGTAAATTTTTCAAAGTTCATTTTTGTATATGTTTTTTTTTTTGTATTTTACAGGGAAGTTTCGAATGTTCCAATATACGAAATATCTGTCGAAAAATGAACTTTTGGGTTGAGGGTGGGGTCCCATTTCAACTTTTTAATTCTCTGCAAGGTTTGTTTTGCAACATGCGGTACGGCGAGAAAATGTCACCTTTTCAATTTGCCAAAATCGGCCTATTTTCTTGAACTCAAGTCTCTTCAAATGGCTAAAGACAGTTGTAATATCAAATTTCATGTTCTTAGCAAACTCTTCCGTCGAAATCTTTAGTTTATTCTCCACGATGACAAGAAAAGGATCTTTGTCTTCATTGGTTTCAGAAGGTCGTCCGGGTCGTGATTGATCGTTTAGGTTAAAATTACCCTGACGAAATCTGCGAAATCACGTTTTGACCGTCCGAAAGTTGGAACACGTTTCAAATAAACATTTTGAATGTTTTTTGATTTTTTTTTTCTCACAGTTTCGACTCTTACTACTTTATAGAGTATATGGCGAAAGTGCAACTATTCATCCTCATTTTTTAAGACATTCATTTATGGAGAAAACGTCAACATTCAACAAAATCTGACTCGCAGCTGAACGGTGCAAGGTTTCAATCTGGAACACATGAGAAATCGACGCCAAAACAAACCCCAGTATCAAGTTGCGGTCATTTTATATTAACAATGAAAATCGGGTACGAAATTCAGCAGTGATCTGATAACTGTCAAAGGGTAACTGTCAGAGTGCGGATAGTGAAGCTAACCTTATGGTCTATTCGATTAGGTGCTCAGACAATAATTCGTCATTAAATAAACCACCAAGGGTTGATATAAAATAAACCAATCAAAACACTTTGTCAAAGGATTTATATTCATTGCATTATTTTCTATTGAAATTGTTAATAAAAATCAGAATCAGTAGATTCTTCAAATATATAAATGTCAGTTCTGATAAATATTTCTTTTAGCTTAAGATTATTGAAGTATGCCTGTTACGGGGTCAGAAGAATCTTTTCGAAGGTAATTATCAACTGGTGTGTCCGGCAGCCTTCCAATGTATTCGACTGTACAAAGAAGTCTACAAAGGATCTTCTCCAAATGTGGTTCCCGCCTACCTTATTTTAGCAGAATCTTTATTGGGTGAGTTCAGTACTATTTAACTGTTTTGATTTACCCAGAATCCATTGTAACAGCAAAGTTGTCCAAATCGTGTGACAGCATGAGATAATTGTTCATCCCACAAAATGTTTAATATCTAAAAATCCACTAAACTAATTGAGTTTCTTGTTTTTTTCTAGGTTTTCAGATAAGACGTTTAGCCATGTTGACACCATTTGTCGTAAGAATCACTGAAAAGCCCTTTGAGGAATTCAGCTAAAAATAGAACAGGTTAAAATCGTTTTATGTCAGCACTACTATGTCTTTCCAAATGAGCAATGGTGTAAGGAAAAAGATCATTCTGGCATTCAGTAATGGCTCGAATTTTCATACTCTGGTTTCCATCTTCAAAGTCCATTCACGAACTATCAAGAGAACGGTGAATAAGTTTTGAAAAGAGGGAACAGTAAAGAGGAAAACTGGATCAGTAGGTCACAGCAGCAAGAGGGATCATCATTTCAACTTAGAGCTAAATACATTCTTATTGTTCAAAGTAGAGTCCAATAGTGTTTTAAAAACCTTAGAGAATTCCAGTAAGATATCTTTAATCATCTCTAAAATACAACTGTTCAAAGCTTAATCTATCAATTGGACAATTTTGCTGTATACTCGGTATTTTGTTTAAAAATATTTTACACATTTTTGAAGTAAAATGAAGTAAAACAATGAAGTAAAATTAAGAAATAAAATATTGATAATGAGTAATAAAAATACATTTTGCCATGATGTTAGTAATAAAGGATCCGGAAATTATATTACCCCCATTTGGCTTCGCCAAACACTGTAAGGTGGCGCTGCTTAATTTCTATAAAAAGACAAATATTTCCTTCCTTACTCTTTTTCTCTCACTTGCTCCAAGATATTAGAAGTTTTTAAAAAACAGTTGTATTGGTGGAGGGAGGGGATTTTTTGCTGGCATTTCGGAAAAGACGCGACAATTTTGTTAGTACCTAACTATTTACAAGTAGACGGGGAAATACGCTCCTGATTATATTCAACAATAAATACTTTTTTTTTTAAATTGAAAACTGTAGCAGACTTAGTCTGGTTTTGTTCCGGCTGTAGACATGTGACATATTTTTAGTTTTACATATATATGATACTAATAATGTTAATACTTAAATGCTAAATACATATACATGTACACACATACAAACATATATACACAAACACACATATGCACATATACACACATGTATACACATGTTTATATATGTTCACTGGGCTATTATTTCGTTTTTTTTTTAATTGCGTTTGGTGATATCATAAGTATTAATAGTAGGGGGTTAGATTTATAATTAAATTTATTTATTATTGGTAGAATTTACATGCATATGTCTGTAAATATACTCGTGTGTATTCATGCGCGTATATAAGCATGCGTATGCGTACACATGTATACACAGGTCTGTGTCCACTTAAGTTTGTGCTTTGTTAGTAATAAACTAGTGCATAAATGGTGAAGTTATTTAATTTTTTTTAAATATCATTTTTTTATGCATATATATATATATATATATATATATATATATATATATATATATATATATATATATATATAATAGGATAAAGAACAAGTAGGAAACAGATCTCAATCTAACATGTTTCACTTTATTAAAACTTCGTTAGAGATCAAGATAGAAAAGTTAATGATATAAAATGGCAAAATCCCTTCGCTAACAAAATTTTAAAGATGCATTAACCTACAAATCACTCGATGAATGTTACGATCCTTGTTTTTTTTTTTAAATTATAAGCTGTATAAGATCTTTCTTAAATACATTCAGTCATCTTCAGGCTTGGAAATTATTTTGTTTTTGGTAAAATTCAGGTAGCAGCTGAGTCGAAACAATATAATGCGAATCGAAATATGTCTTTTCTTATATATATATATATATATATATATATATATATATATATACGTTAGGATCTCACCATGGTTGATTTGTCAGGAATAGTCTTTCTGATGTTATCGGTCTGGAGGGGGCGATTCTAGCGTGCGGCACCTTCAGAAAGTTCCTGAAAACCATACAACGGGTTGACCCAAGCCTTGTGAGTGAAATTGGGCAGACGGAACTCTTGATCGAGGGTTTGAATGTGCTGGCCTAGTTCAGATTGTTGATCACGCTAGAGAACACGCTCTCTCCCAGAAACTGTAACTAAGATCTGCTCAGCATAGTTGCAGTATAAACCAAAGGTGGGCTGTGTGTGTGTTGAAAAAACATAAATGTGCCTGAGCGAACGTCTGCAAGAAGGATTGGCTAGCCATCCAAATAGACAGCTGTCCTCGAATACAGTGGTCAGCTATTATATATATATATATATATATATATATATATATATATATATATATATATTCGATATGTATATATATATATATATATATATATATATATATATATATATATATATATAACAGTAGGATTGATGCATACGGAATAAATTCCAATAACCAAAAATTACTGTTCGTAAAAGAGTGCTCAAGACAGAGTAGAGCAAATATAATTTATTCGAAAGTTATAACATATGTTATAACATCACTGCAAAAATAGCCGTTTTGTTTCAACGTTTCTGGTGTCTTATAAAGTGATGGTGTTCTACATTCAATGCCATGTTATAATTTTTGAATAAGGCGGAAAGACACTCTTCAAGCCTAAATCAGGCGATGATAAGTTAGGGTAATTAATTTTCCCTCAGAGAACTCAAGACATTTTTCTCACACAGATTTGTTTTTTTGTTTTTTTTTAATTCAAACTGAAGAAGCCAAAGAGATCATACGCTTTCTCTGTCGAAACGCGTCTTTCATATAAAAAAAAAATCCACTTTGTCTCATCTTCACTTTTGTGTCGGAGACTGTATAATTATACCCGGTACACAAACTTACAAGATGGAGTGCACAGTGATTAAAAAGGAATTGTGGGTATGTAGATAAGGGGCGACAACTCTATTTTAGTTTCTACCTTCTAATAATAACATAGTACATTATTTTATTTCTTTTTGTTTTCCAGGCCTTGACCAACTAAAAGAAGCTTGTGATTATCTCTCTTTTGTGAAGATGATAGCCACAAAACAAAGCGGGGCGCGAAAAGGGTTTACTCCTGTCCAACCGCACACTTACAAAATCTACCGAACAATGGCAAAGTTGTATTTGGTGATGGAGGACTATAAACAGTCAATTGATAATCTTTCAGAAGATGTAAGTGCCACGAAATTCATAGTCATAAACTTTATATTAATACATTGTTTAAAACACTGGTTACCGTATCTTCCGGCTTACAAGACGCATTTTTTCCTAAAAATACCCCGAAAAAATACGTGTGCGTCTTCCAAGACGAATGTAAGGCAATGCCCAGCCTCAAGTAAGCTTGTATGGTTACGTAATTGGCTTGACTGATAAGGACGTGGATTCGTATGTTGAGTCATTACACTATAATGTTAGCTATATACCTAATTACACCGTTTATATGATGTAACTCAGTACTTAGCTGTTATAAGTATTTCCAAAACTATAAACCTTCCTGGAGCCGAGCCACAAGCTTAAACATGCTCTCTTTACTAGCAACGGCGGGAGCCTTTCTGCTCTTGACTAGTATGTCATTGCCGTACAAACAAAATCGGACGAGTGATTAATGTAAACAATATTTGGCACCAGTATGTGAGGGACACATGTTGAATGTGTTGTATGAGAATGACTTTTTTTTCTTAGAAATTTAATTCTAATATTAGAGTGTGTCTTCCAAGCCGCAGCGTCTTGTAAGCCGGAAAATACGGTATATCCCAATCCTCCCTTTCTTGTCTCGACAGCATTCAAAAGCGTTTACGCCTTCTACTCTACAACCCCTTTCACCACAGACGCAAAGTCGCAAACCTATCGCTATTTCGCCGCTAGTACCACAGAAAATGTTTAGACGATTTGCATTCCAATTCAGACCGTTACAGCCAAGACCTACCATGATGTCAGACAGTGTCAGACCATCCAAATTTCCTTCGTGTTCCATTGACAAGAAGGAAGTTCCATTTGGACCGTTTTTTCCCAAGAGCCATTGCTTCGGGGAACAAACTCCTGAGCGGATGCTTCCTCAGACACTGTAATCTTAACTTCTTCAAGTACTGAGTCAACCGTTACATATCCTAATAATCTTCAAAACTTATTCCGTAACCTTATACTTTGAGTGGCTCTTGGGCCTTGTATTGAGTTAATTAAAAAAAATTGCATAATAGAAATATACACGTAACCGTATAGTTAGGACGTTAGCATTCCGACCATCAAAACTGGGTTCATTATGGTAGATTTGGCAAAACGATTTCTGGCTTCTTGTTAATCTGGGTGTATGGAGGTGATTACAGTTTGTTTCACCGCTAGGAAGTTCCTGTAATTGACCCAAGACTTTTAAATGATATTGGGTAGACGAAACTGTTCGAAAACTGTCGATGACTGTGCTAGCACGAAGTCACAAGTCATCGTGACCGAGTGTCTGAGTGTACTGGTATTGTTCAATTATTCATGCTCTCTCTCTCTCTCTCTCTCTCTCTCTCAAAACTTAAAACTAAGGACAGCTCAGCGTAGATCCAGTAAAAACTACTGTGGGAATTGATCTGACACAAATGTGCCTGAGTAGGCGTCTGTAACGGGGATTGGCTGCTCACTCTAGTTATTATGCAACAGCTATTTAATTTGACTTTATATTCTATCTAAAAACTCATTTACAATATTTTTCAGGTAAATTCAGTAACGACGGTTATGTATAACGCTTCACTTTTTAAAATATCGGTCACTCAATACAAGAGCCACTCAAAGTAGAGAGTTACTGAATGACTTTGTTGTATGACAGTAAGAGGGGTAAGTGAAAAGTGCATATTATGAGAATATGTAGGATAGATAACGGCTGACTCTAGACTTGAAGAGATTAAGAGTGTAGTGATCGAGAAAACATAGTCTCGGGAGTTTGCGCTATAAATCAGCTGCCCTTGAGAAGAAGCTATTTGAACGGAACATCCTCCTTAGCGCTGGAATACGAAGGGAATGTGGATGGCTCAAGACTGTGTACATGGCATAACGGATCCTAGCCGTAAAGGTTTGAACTGGTGGAATTAAGGAATGTAGCTCGTCTGAATATTTCACATGGAAATAGCTATAGAATAGTGAGACGCTTGCGATGTCTTGTCTGTGGCATTGACTGATTGAATTTTTTTTTGGTGGTGGGGGGGTATTTTTTTAATATGTCCGCTTTGGTTTAATCGATGACAATACCAGTAAGCCGGTCTGTAGCATTTCTCTAAAACAGTGGTTCTTAACCTTGTTTGCGGTACTGAACCTGCAAGTTTCAATGCGTGCATTCACTGAACCCTTCCTAATTGGAAATATAAAATATGATTTCTGCAAAACATAGGTATATATTTTATTACTGCAGAAATGAACAATGCATCGGTTGCACACAAAATCATCAAAGAACAAAACCAACAAAACATGACTTCCACACACACACAAAAAACATAACTCAATGAATATTTATTGCAAGTCAATGTGACTTTTTTTGCTGTTGCCCTTCAGAGACAAGTTCGTAGCGGTATTGGCAGCCTAAATCAACGTGTACATTTTTTACTTTACGAATGTGTAAACAAACGAAAAGCAACAAGAGAAAGAACACAAAAAATAACCTTTTGTAACAAGGACAATATTTATATATTACGTCAAATGATACACATGAATAGTTAATAGGAGTTACTTCCCTTCCACTGGAATAAAAGTTTTACTAATGAAATATCTTTTTATCTGAGCTCATAAAAAATTGAATGAAGTTGTCGCTCAAAATATGTTCATTGTGAGAGAGTTGAATGAATTCTGTAAAGCTGAAAATATGTAGATGAACTTTTAACTTTTAGAATAGTTGAAGGAGTGAATGTTCCGTAATGTCTGTAATTAAGTTTGAAAAGTTTCGTAATAAAATCAATAATGTGATTGAACAGTTTATGGTAAGTTCCAGAAGAAGTTGGTGAGTGAGTGGTTTAGTAGAATGATTTAGCTTGAATTAGAGAGAAGATATTTGTTGAAGCTTGGATAAGCATGGAATAATAATAATACAACACAAAATGTACGTAAACAAAATGTATTGAAACAAGGAAAAGGTACACAATATTTACAGTTAGTTTTGGTATATTCTTGGGAAGACGGTTCCTGTAGAATGGGTTGACTTAATCGCAGTCGGGCAGAGTCTCTCGATTCGATCTCTTCTTCCTTCTTCCTCGTCTTCCGGTACCAACCCATATTTATATGGTCGGTACTCCACTATGTAAATTAGGTGGATCGTACCACAACAATATTTTATGTTGAAGAACTTAAAATTTAAATTTGTACTTTACTGCATTAAAGCGTCGAGAACTAGTTTAGCAAATGCTAGTCGTTGTAAATTCTCACTGGCAAGGTTCACTCGTACATTCTATTTATATGTTTTTTAATCACGTGTCAGGCTCCAAAAAGCATTTATTTTTTTTAGTCAGGTCAAGAACTAGGTTGATGTTATTGGGACGTAGTTCAAAACGTAATTTTAATATTAAGTGACCAATCAGAAATCGAGGTTTTCTGAAAATATGTATGAAGCTCTATGATCCGTTTATTGCACAAAAATCGACATTGAAAAAAAAAAAGCGGTAGCGGAAAGCTAAAAGTTCAGAAATGCACGGCTTCACCTTTTGGCAAGTGCCGTTCTCATATCTTTTTTTCAACAAAGTCTGTTCATTTCCTTCATTTTCATGTCTACCATCCTCGAAAAGGATTGTTCTTAAAGATACGTTGTAACAAACGGTATGAGTTTCTCAAGGATTTTCTTAGCAATAAGAGGGTACGCTATGATTTGTTGACATCAAAACGTCGAGAGCGTTTCTGTCTATATCTTCTGTCTATATATTCTGTCTGAGATGAGGTATTATGATTATTTACATTATTCGAACTGTTATCCTCATTTTCATTGTCATATTCACAACATTTCGGCCGTTGTACGCTCCGGCCTTCTTCAGTTGATTGGAACAATCTACCCCGGGGGACGAATGGTTCATTTCACCGCAAATCAAAATTAATGTGTGATGACTTTTATATCGGAGTAATGCTTTTTAAAATTACGTATTTTGCTCAAGTACACCCATTAAATTCGATAATGAATAGTTTTATATTCCAATAATTTAACTCTCTTCATTCATGTAATAATGTTGCTTAATATTTTGGTTTTTGCTCTTATTCTAGGAATACTCAAAAAAATAAAAATAAAAAAATAAAAAAACGAGTAAAAAATGACGAAAAACAACCCCATTCATATATTTTTCCTACCCAAAATACATGAGTAAATAAATAAACCGAATAAAAGTCTCCTTTATTAATTTATTACTCTCTTTTAATGGATTTTCATTTATGTTTTATTTTCGTTACTCGACAAACAAAGAAATACATGCAATTTTCGGACTCTAGCTGAGTTCAACATTAAATAAACCAACTAACTTCATTATCGTAAATAAGTAACTACAACGACAATATTTTTAAGCGATACATAAAAAAATAGCTGTCACAGTTATCTCCCTTGAATTTTTTACGTTTGGATATTTCTATGAGCAATTCATGAGAAATAATACATTTTAAAATTACATATTTTTACAAGTACATCTATTAAATTCGATGAAAAATAATGACGTAGTAATGTCGTTTTTAGACGTATTTTTTAACGTCAAAAAACGACATTATTACGTCATTATTTTTGCACCAACCTAATAAGTCTAGGGTAATCGTTATCCTTGTCACGCATCCTCATAAACTGTGCCTCTTGCTCTGTAACATTTTACCTCGATTGTCTCTTTGGCTTTGTACAGTGTTTACTCGTTCTCCCACCAGAACGAGATGTGACACAAGGTCATTTTAATGTGGGCACCCAAGCGCGTACACTCGGGCAAGAGACAAAGATTCCCCACAGCCCTCGCAACCGACGGTTGCGCTGGCCTTAGTGCGAGCCCCGATCCCTCCCTCTTGTGCAATGGGAGGGCGCGGCCTCGGGCAGCTGTTCCCCAGAGCTGGGTACCTCTCAGAATAATTTTCTCAGTTGCCCCTCTGTCCTACATTTGGCTTTTTACAGGATGAACATTATTCTAAAAAGTTATCTCCCTTTAATTTTCTACGTTCAGATTTTCAGGTGAAGTGAATATTCGATTGAACGTTTTCGTTGAAGTCAGTTTTCAGACGAATGACATTCAGTTTTGTGAATCGGGCCCATTTTGGACAGCTGTGATAATTCTTCTGTCAATAACGCTAGATCGTATCCCTGACTACGCGTATGTGAGTATACGCATTCGTATCGACATACACATACACGCAAATATAAACGAAAGGCTATATCGAATATTAGCACCATTACAACGTGAGATATCGTATTTCCTATTATATAAGACACATTCTCCCTGCCTCATAAGACTGCTCTAAAAATCACTCAACGTTCTATATTCTGATGGTTTGTTTTAGGCACGAGACAATCACAATAACATTCCTTTTTGACACGGTAGTATTGAGAAATCGGATAGCCGAATTCGAATTCCAGTCGAATCCATTACATTCACTTACGTGCTAATACTCTTGGGAAAGATATGAATCTTCTTATTCTCCCCTCAACTATGGGTAAATAGCAGGACAGACAGGATTCTATAGACTTGGATGGCAACTGGTCTACCGCAGAAAGAAATGACAACCTACAGCGAGAAAAAAATTGCCTCGTCAATCATATATCGAAAAATACATGATCGCCTAAATGTGTATCACGCATGGCATATAACTGAGTTCCCTGATGGTTTCAAAAGGAAATGTCATTATCTTCCTAAGACCATATCTTTTTCTGATTCATGTTACACACATTTGCACTACTGGCCGGATGTGAACGCTCCGAACACCCAAGTCTGAACTAAAAATTCCATCAACTGCGCATAGACTCTGCACATAGCTTCCGTTTTACTTACACACTCAAAGAAAAATACAATCCAGAATTTCCACCCAATAGCACACACTCTCGCTTAAAAAACAAAAAGCAAAATAAGAATTGAAGCCGATCTGGCCCTAAGAAAAGGACATAAAAGCCCATCAAAGAGACATCTTCGGTAGTGGGACGGCACAACAGGCCAGATTCACAACGCTCGACGGAACGCGACCTCCCATCTCCAAAGACAACTCGCCAAAGGCCGTCGCCGCAGTAAGTCACAAGTCACCCTTCCTCTCCTACTGTACGCCTCTGTGGACGACTTTTACGATTCTACCTATCTCTTTCTTTCGACGAGAGACATTGACACCCATTTACTGTTTGTTATATTTTTACGTTAATACAATTGATTATTTCTTAAACCTCCGTCGTTTCTTCTTTATTCTGTCGCCATACGCTTAATATAACAGAAACATGGTGATTATTTTGATTGCCATTATAAATAACTTTTAATCATGCACCAATGAAACTGTATGAAACTATAAAAATACAAACAATACCTTTTATATATATATATATATATATATATATATATATATATATATATATATATATATATATATATATAGGGTGTTCCTAAAGTCTAGGCACATAGCAAATCTTATTAACTATTTTTTTTTACTTCAACATATTAGACATGTTTTAATTGCTCGTGTATGCTAAAGGAGAAGGTGTACTCAATGAAGATCACAGATGCAACACACTTGATTGAACGTATAAAGGGGGAATGTGCTAAAATTGACGTCGGTGTGGAGCTATTGCATCGATTTCACGCATTAAGCTTTGCATCTCAAACGATGGAAATCATATTGGCGATGTTATTTGCTAATATTCCAATTCAATAAGATGTTGTTGAAAATTTCATTTCTTGAAAATATCCATTTGCACATCGAGGTATCAGATAGAGATCCGGTTTTTGTTAATAATATGATTTCCATTGGGAAATACCCAATTCATCAGTTTGTTCCTCCGACCTTTATAAAAAAAAAATTACCAACTGTTATGGGAACTTACCCATAATAATAATGGACTATTCCTGACATTATAAATACTGCGCCTCTCAAGCGGTATGAGGATATTGTAAGACGAGGAGAGATAATTGAGAGCAGATTGTAAGGACATTGGAATAGTGATACTTGTCGAGACAACATAGTTCACTCTAACCAAATCTGATAGTCATTACTAATACTTCTACTTCTTTGTATTATATTTCCGTTGTAATATATCTTTGTATACCATACCTGTGTTCGTGTTATTCTTTCATTGGTTCTAACCTTGGACCATCACCGTTGTACAAGGAACTTGGACCATAGCACCAACATTACCCATTTATAGTAGAATTACTAATAAGACATCTTCTCTAGTTGAAGGCATACAATTGCATTCAAAATATTTCATTTCAGCATTAAATAACCCATGGAGGTGTTGATATGCCGTTAAACAAAATCAACCAAGCAACCGACATGAAAGAACTCTTTCATGAGTTTAATCCGTTAACTTCAACACAACTACAACCTAAAACATATATGTCACCACCTCTAGAGGTACCTCGACATTATGTAATGGTTAGCAAGCTTATCTCCCTAGATCATATTACGACTGATTAGTGAGTTCGATTGAGGTATCGGAGAGCCAAGTTCGGATTCCAGTCGAATCAATTTACATCCACTTAGGTGCTAATACCCTTGGGAAAGGTATGAATCCTCTTCTTCTCCCCTCCAGCTATGGGTAAATAGCAGAACAGACCGGGTTCTGTAGCCTTGGATGGCAACTGGTCTACCGCAGAAAGAAATGTCAACCTACAGCGAGAAAAAAATCTGCCTCGTCAGTCGTGTATCGAAAGATACATGATCGCCTAAGCGTGTGTCACGCATGGTACATAACTGAGTGAGTTCGATACTCACTTGGTGTTCCGTACTTTCGGCCTTGTGCCACATCTGAGATGCGCTTAGAATATCACCACCTCTAGTAATTATGTCCACACAAACATGTATTTACACTATTTACATTGTTCGGATATTATTGATTTTTGAAAATTGATCGATAGAAGGAAAAGAGTTGATATTGCTTGTTTTTTAAAAAAAATCATAGAATAAACTTAAAGCTTAATAAAAATACACATTGGTGTTATTCTTTTAGTTTTATAAAAAGGAAATATTTTTATAAAGAAAAGCAAGTCTGTTTTCGTAGGCAGATATCAACGACGTAAACACATTTACATTGTTCGGACTGTTTTCCTCATCTTTGTTTCTATATTCACGACTTTTCGGTCGTTGTACGCTCCGGCCTTCTTCAGGTGGTTGGAATTTCGAATTCGAACCCTTTATTTCGTCCACCGGGGTAGATTGTTCTAGTTCCACGTGCCATGCCTCTTCCGGATATCCCAGTGTCAGTTATTTCCCTTTAACTCAACGTTCTAAGCTTTTGTTCACCTCTGCTGTAGCCAGGTATTGAACTCACAACTCTGTGGATCAAGTCGCCGGATTACTTCAACCAACGCTTTTATCCACTGGTGTATGGATTTGGGGGGGATTTATAAACCTAATGTGATGATATTGTCGCGTTATCTCCTCCTTTTTAGCTGATACATCACGATGTAAATGTCATGGAGATTGCGTTTTCCCTTTGTGGGAAACGCCATGAACAATACACGCACACACACGTACGTACGAACATTCACTACACATACTTTGACCACAAACTTTCTACGTTCATTCATACACACTCATTATCGTCTTTGTCATTTGTAAACCGTTTGTCGTTTCATGCATATTAATTTGTTTGTACATATATATCTGTTCTTGTTGTTTCTTCACATTTTTTAGGTGGACTCGTCCCGAGTCCGCCATGTTTGTTATGGGCCATTTCAGGAGATGCACGTGTTAATCTCACAACGCGTACAACCTGTCCGCTATAATATTAACAAAAGTCGTCAGTAATTTTCAATGGGGAGTTTCTTTCTACCCACCCTATATAATTGTATATCCCATGTATTTTTAGAGGATGTGAATTATTAGATGTATCCTCATGTTTTGACAAGGGTATTCGTAGATTGTAGTCTATAATATAGAAATATCTATGTATATTTCAGATATATTTCGCCTCGGAATTATTTGGCACAAACGCAATACAAACCTCCGGAGGATATTTTAATATGGCGAATGTATATTTTTATCTAGGAAAGCCCGTACTCACGAACTCTCTATACAAGAAGGTAAGAAAGAGACATTTGCTTCTTCACTTTCGTCTTGACAGTGTGTGTGTATCATCAGAGTCGCAAGGTGTTGCAACCTTGGGAAGGTTAATGAATAGAATAATCACACGAAGGTTGTTAATGAACGATAATACTTAGGACAAGAATAACACATATAAGATTCGCCAGCGGTGCATAGAAGTAGCAACGGCTAGAAGGAAGTCAAGTGAATTCCACATTGAATCTCTACCTGCAGATCAACATACAGTATTTACTACTGTATTTATGTGAATGGCGACATACCCATTATCGTCCGTAGGTATGCTACAACACAAGGGTACCACATTTACTGCAACTATAGCAGCTGTGGGTGTATCTAGGTATCCTCACACCCTGACGAAGTCCAACGCTTTTCAGAATGGTTTTGAAATCAGAGTTATCCTTATTCTAGAGTGGTTGTGGCGTTCAAAGAAAGAGAGCCCAGTCTGTCCTGCTATTTAACCCATAGCTGGAGGAAAACGGATGCTTGCCTTTTTCCAAGGGTATTTGCGCGAAGTGAGCAAAACAGAATCGAGCGGGATTTGAACTCGGCGTGCTTAATTACATTATTTGCGTCACCAGCGACATACGGTGAGACTTATATAAAAATTGAACTAAATATCTATATTTTCATGGGAGATTTGAAGACCCCATGGTACTAATGTGGCAAGAATGTCTTATAATAATGGTGTCAAGTCCTCTGGCTAAATCATCAATTACAAGTTACATAAAAATGTTTTTTCATGAGAGCTTCACCGATAAGTCTTTTTAACAACAGAGCGGTAGTTCTGTTAGTAATTCATTGAATATACAATAAAATTACCTCCCACATATACCTCTCACAAATACCTCCCACATATACCTTCCACAAATACCTCCCACATAATGTTAAAATTTTAGTGGCAATGGTGTCATTTACACCCTTGTGAAAATTAATTGAAACAACCGCTTTAGTTTCCTTTCTTTCACCATACGGTCAGTTTTAGATCCACTGGAGTGACAGGGTGTAATCGATTTCTATTTTTTCCTCAGATTAGGTCATTTGCAGTGGTGCGCAGTAATATGAATCTATTTTCAAGGTGTATGATGAAATTTGTTTGGCCTTGAAAAATATTGCGTCATCCGTGATTGCATCAGAATTTTATCACTATTGTCTCGACTGTCGATTAGCTGTCCTACGGCCATTGTCTGCGATGGACGTTACTTCAAGGAAGCTTACGAAAATTGTAACGTTGCACGAACACACTGGCTAGCCTTACAGAGAGATTGCGGACTGTACGAGAAGCTCGTGACGGCCATTATAGATGTGTGTACCGTGACCCCAAAATCAATGAAGACTGCTCTAAATTAATGGATTCCATGCCAAATCACATCAAAGAGCTTCTAAAAATAATACGAAAAAGTAAATAATAACGGAGTTATTCGTTTTGTTTCAATTAATTTGCACAAGGGTGTAGTTAATCTCTTACCTTTATAGGCGGTATTTCTGACTGGTATATGTATTCCTGCTGCACACTCAATTGAAAGCAGCGTGTAAATTACCAGGAGTAACTAATAAATCTTTGATTGCTGAACTCTCTACTTTTCAAATTATGATCATTTTCAGACAGCTATAGTCTCTTAAAAATATTATGTCATCAACAGCGCGTTAGGTTACGAAACATGATTTAACCCCTAACTACAAACAACTGCCTTTATCTACGGTGACATCCACCTTCAATCCAGATCTGTATGCCTTTCTCTTTTTTGTTTCCCTTACAGACGTTCAACAAAGCGTCTCGCTCAAAACGTGGTCCTTACATAATCGCCTGCGATGTTTGAGAGACTGTCCTCATCCTATCTTGGGCGGCTGGGCATAAATTAACCAGCCCAACGGTTTTTTCTCATGTGCGCATGTACAGGGAGTTGGAGGTTGACAAATATTCGTACACATACAAATTTTTAATTTATTGTATTTCCAATTAATGAATAAACATAATTTTCATATAATTAACTGTATACAGATGCATAATAACTAAATATGCATAGAAAACAGAAACAAATTTGATATAATAGGAATAAATCCCATTTACCTATTTTAATGGTTGAGAAAAGTATCCGTGCAATACAAAAAAGAATACATAATCTTCATTTAACTCTTTGTAGAATAGCCATTATTCACTTCTACAACAACCATCCTCTTCTTAGAGCTCTCAATTAATGATTTGCAAATTTTAGTTGGTATTTTGTTTCATTCTTCTTCGCATATGGTCTTCAGATACGGGATATTCGTTGGAACTCTTGATTGAATTTGAATTTTCAAATAACGTCACAGATTCTCGATTGGGTTTAAATCTGGGGACTGACTTGTCCATTTCAGGATATTTATATTATTTTTAACACGCCATTTCTTCGTAGATTTTGCAGTGTGCTTAGGATCATTATCTTGTTGGAAGATCTAATCAAGAGGAAGTTCAAGTTTTTCAACCGAAATTATTAAATTTGCTTCCAAAATATTTTGATATGTTGCGGCAATCATTCTACCGTCTATTACTGATATGTTGACAGTACCTTTTGCAGAAAAACATCCCGAAACTATGATGCTGCCACCATTAAATTTCACTGTTGAAACTGTGTTTTGTTTGAAGGCCTCGCCATCTTTCCTCCATATATGATTTCTAGAATTACATCCAAACAACTCAATTTTGGTTTCGTCTGTGTATAATACTCTTTTCCAATACGATTTTTCCTTATCTTTATTTTCACGAACGAATTTCAACCTGGCATCTCTGTGTCTTTTCAATAGCAGTGGAGTTTTTCGAGGGGAGTGTGATTTTAGATTGTTCCTATGAATTTCATTGCTTATTGTCTGTTTCCTGATGAAAGCAAATCTTCCTGCAACTTTTGACGGGTAACCATTGGATTTTGTTTAATTTGACGCATTAATTTCCTCGAAGATCTTGAAGAAATCTTTCGTAGAACACTAGTTCTTTGGTTTTCGACAGTTTTGAGTTTTTATACTTTGCAATGAATGAACTGATGGAATATTCAGGTTGTCTGAGATTTTCTTGTAACTTTTACATTCTTTCTAGAGTTTAACAATCAGTTCCTTTTGCAAATTTGTCAGTACTTTACCTCTTGCAGAAAACCTTCTTGCACGAATATCAAGTACAGAATGTTCTGTTTGTATTTTTTAAGCTAAAAATAACTACTGATAACATTATTGTAACATTCAAGAATATTCCCTTGAATAATCTAGAGTATTAAAGCAATTTGAAAGTTTTAAAATATGGAATTTGCATTGTACGAATACTTTTTTCACCCATTAAGATGGATAAATGAGATTTATTTCTATTAAATCAAAATCGTCTTATTTAATAATATTTAATATAATATTTAGTTATTATGCATCTGTGTTCAGTTAATTATATGAAAAGTTTATTCGTTAATTGGAAATGCAATAAAATAAAAATGGATATGTGTACACATATTTGTCCCCCCTACTGTATCAAGTGCAGCTAGACCTACATGGGTTCACTTCTAATGTCAACCCCGGTTGGAAGGTCATCTCAGGTCAACTCTGCACCAAACTCCCTTGATGGCCTTGTGAGAAATTGAGTGCATAGCCTATTATAGTACATATGGAATATTGCATATTACATATGGAATACTGCATATTACATATGGAATATTGCGAAGCTCAAGTTAAAGCTGTGGAGTGGGGAAGGGCTGAATCCTTATTCTTTGTGTGCCCTGCTTTTTCAGGACATGAACAATTATGGCTCTTTCCAACTTCCTGTCTTTGGTTGCCCTAAGAAACTTTTCATCCATTACCATTTTTTCTCTGTTCTGTCATCCATTTATTTACACGAACTTTTTAAATAATTTACTCGATGTTTCTCCTTGCTTCTATTTCTTTCTTAATGCCATACGATTGTTACATTCTCCAAACCTTCTTTCCTCATTATGTCCCAGAAATTTCTGTTGTCTCCCTTTGATTCTAAATAAAAGTTTCCTTACAATTATTATTTAGCTTAAAAAAGTTAGGTTAGGGTAGAGAAAATATGCAGAAGTCTTTAAGGAAGAAAAAAATGGCCTCCAGACACTACATCTGCCGCGGGAGAGCTGTTTTTCTGAGAAAGCTTATATACTGAAAAACTCCTACGCGCGCCTCTCATGTCAGAAAGAAGTTTGAGTTTTCCGCCTTGTTAATTCCAATGTAATTCCAACTACATTTAAAAATCAGCTTTACATGTACTTCTACTCATCCCTAATTAGGAGGAATATTGTTTTAAGTGATTTCTAAATATTCGCGAATTTTGTCTTTCTTTCTATTTCAGGTAGTTGATATTTGGTACAAATGTCTGAAAAATCTTGCCGATAAAAAACTATCTGGTGATGAATCGGACGTTTTTCTGGACTGCCAGGGAGTTCCTGATATTGGTTTAGGTAATAGCAATAATATCTTTCAAATACTGCTGAAAAATCGTATTCATAATGCCGGAAAAAGCCCTATTCATAATTCTGGGAAAAGTACTATTCATAATTCTGGGAAAAGTACTATTCATAATTCTAGGAAAAGTCCTATTCAGAATTCCATGAGAATGCTGATACAAATCAAATGTCATTATTCCACACTTTTGACTTCTCAATCGCTAAAAGAAAAATAAATAAATAAGGGGAGACTAATCTGTAAATAGCCAAATTCCAACTACATTTAAAAGTCAGCTTTACATGTATTTCTACTAATCCCTAATCGGTAGGAATATAGTTCTAAGTTATTTTTAAACATTCATTCATGCAGACTAAGATAACCAACACCCACAACACGCAATATGATAAAACTATGTCATAAAACAGATCATATTTTACACTACTACATGTTTGAGCTTCTCTGGAAATAGCACCCAGCGCAAGTTAATTTATAACACAAACGCTTGGTAGAGACGGGCAGATGTTGCGTAAGGACGTATAAATACGTGTTAATATGAGATATACATAAAACACTCACACACACGCACATACATATATACAGGATGTATCAAAAATACTTTAACAAACTGTGGGCGAGTTCTTCACACCAGAACAAGGACACAAATCCATATAAACATACGTTCGCAAATCCTTCGTTTTGAGATATTGAGTTTAAAGTAAATTTACGGTATATGGCACTGTGTTGCCATGTAGGCTAGGTTAAATTTGTCATTCGTGTACATTTGTGGCTAGTCTGTCTTCAACGTTTAACGTGCGTAGTAGTGAGTTAACTGAGAAGTGTTCCGTTTAACAATGGCAGGGTATTCTTATCGTGAGCAGGCAGATATGATTTTACATACGGCCGCGTGAATAGTAATGGACTCGAGACTGTACGGCTGTATCAGATTGCGTTTCTAGACTGAAGGCAGACGAGTCTTCGAACCTTTTGTTACTGTTTATCGTCGCGTTGCTTAGACAGGATCTGTGGCATCATAAACTATATATATATATATATATATATATATATATATATATATATATATATATATATGTAAAAATGAGAACGAATAGCATAACAAAATTGGCATGAATAAATTAGTAATATGGAGGAAGATTTGGAGTGCGTCTAAAACATGTAAATTCACGATTAAAATAGACGTAAATTCAATGAATTAGCGATTGGACAACACATATTGGAGAATGAGCTATGCTCTTTCAAATCTATCAACTCATTCTCTATTTTGCATCAGACTCGTTCCAAACACCATTTGCGAGTGTTGGAAGCTGTAAGTATTAAATTACAGCAACCGTCTTTATGTAACCAAAAGGGGAATTTTATTCGGTCAATTAATTTATTTGGCGGATCGTGAGTATTAATTTCTTCATATTTTACACTTACGCTGGAGTATTTGAATTTACGTACATTTTAATCGTTAATTTACATGTTTTATACGAACTGCAAATCTTCCTCCATATTATTTATCTATTCATACCAATTTTGATACAATGATTTTGCTTGTTGATCCCTGAAGAAGTGTTGGCCGAAAGGTACCTCGGTTTTAGACACACTGGGTTATATATTAATATTTTTTACTTCGTTATTTCAAAAAAAAACCCTGCTTGATAGTAGCAATGAACTACAAGAGTGAATGACTGTTGCTCAGTACACACACACACACACACACACACACACATATATATATATATATATATATATATATGAAAAATTAATGTGTTTATTTTAATCCGACAATTTTATTTTAATCCGACATTTTTATTATTTCAAATGTTATTTTAGTGAACGAATTTTATTTGAAATGTTTAATAATTAAATACAAATGGGACGTCTATTTCAAATAAAAGTGTTCACTATAATAACCCTTGAAGTAATGTGATATATATATATATATATATATATATATATATATGACTTAAAGATCAAATGCAGATCAAATATGGATCGGAATCTGACAGGATGATAAAATAAAGAACAAATAGGAAACGTATATCGATCTAACATGTTTCAATTTTATTAATGCTTCCTCAGATATTGAGAGAAATCAAACAAAAAGACTGAAAACATTGATATTTTCGAATAATTTGTTTTGGTCAATTCTCTCTTTTTTTTCTCAATCGAAGACGAAGCTTTGATAAAACATGTTAGATTGATATGTGTTTTCTATTTGTTCTTTATTTTATCATATATATATATATATATATATATATATATATATATATATATATATGTGTGTGTGTGTGTGTGTGTGTGTGTATATATATATATATATATATATATATTATTTAAATAACAGGAACGCCATTTTATTAATCAAACCTTTTTTTTTTATAGACAAACAGCACCTGAAATATCTTTCGGCCAACACTTATTCATGGGTAACGCATTGGCACATTATTAATTAGTATAAAGAGGACTCAAATATTGAAATATTTACTAAAATGGAAGAAAAGTCCGAGCTCGTTTAAAATTAAATTTATTGAAAATATAATTAAAACGTGTAAATCTCAGCTCGGAAAGAGTTAATAAAAGGGGAAAAAAATTTAACTCACAATCCTTACAAGAGTTTTAATATATATATATATATATATTGTTTATGCAGCTGATTTTGTGTCAAAATTAATTGATCAATATATATTTGCTATGTATTAATTAATGCGACATTTTCACCTGACAATTAATTGCCTATCGTTGTTAAATCCATAATTGTATTTGTTTCACGTCTGTTTAGATGAAGCCCAAGTGGCCGAAGCGAAACTCTACCTCAGAAGTATCTACGAATGGTGGGAAGGTTCCAAATACAATGGAACGATGCAATTTGCCATTCTCTGCTTGACATTGACTTTTCTTTCTTTTATTCTCGTAGAAGTAATCGAGGTAAGTAGTGATGGAATCGGTTCAGTCGTACAATTATTCTCTTGGATGGGGTAGGGGATAACTAACGACAGACTAGTTCAATCTCTCTTTTATTCTCTTGGAAACAACTGAAGTAAGTCGGTATGGAATGATTCTAATGATTACCCGCCTTTATAGAAACGGTTCCTGGAAATATGGGATGACATTATTGTCTATATCTAAATGTTTGGAATACGATATATGCTTAATTCTATAAATTTTAACGAGTTATATATTTCGTGTTTTTATATCTTATTCTTTAGTTGTTGTTAACTGATAGCCGTAGACAGACGTTTTTTTTAATCATTTCACCCCAAGTAAGGCGGGAATGCTACTAGTACACAGGAGGTTACAGAGAGTGAAAGCGAGAGAATAGATTGGCTATAGAGGGATTGCGGAAAGGATAAAAGATGAACGGGATTCAAGAAGATAGAAGATGGCGATTGACTTTAAACTTTAAACTTTTGAAGATTGTAGTTATCAGGGATGCAAGTAAACAGAAGGGAGTTCCACAGGTGGGAAGCGCGAGAAAAGAAGCTGTTGGAGTAGAAGCGACTGTTACATTTACCTAATTCAACAGTAAAAGGTGGGAACTAATTGCCAATCTAGTAGCACGCTTAAATCCACGTAGTATGGGCACAATGGAATAAAAGCTTGTGCTGAAAAAAAAAATGAAAAATGAAAGAAATACTCGACGAAAATGAATAATGGCGGACAATGCTTTCGTCATACTAATACTATTACTGAAACTCTTAGTATAAATAAAGCAATTATAAAGCAGAAGAGAGAAATATGAATTAAATGTTAATAATGGCTGACAACTCTTCTTTGTCCTTCCTACTAAAAGTACTAGTGTAAAATGAAGTTCATTACACAAGCTCATTAGGCAGTTTATTCGCTATTTTACGCTGTCCCACTTGCCTTCAATATGTCCTATGAGTGACAAACCTTCTTGCCGAATTAGATGTTCCCATAAATGTCAACTGTCTCTTTCTGATTTTAACTACGTATACTTTTAGTTTCCATTTTCCCTAAAACTTCGTCGGAGCTCATATGTTCGTCCTATGGTATCCTCGGCATCCTTCTATAGAACCAGATATGCTGTTGCAGCTGGTGTGCGCAAAAGCAACAAATATGACGCCGAGTCATAAACGAAAAATAAAGAATTAATTTAAATGGTTAGATTTAATCGTCTGCCAAACGCAGGACTCTCGTTGTTTAATCAATAGAAATATATCCTACAGTAAGTTCGAGTTTCAATTAAGTTGTTTGCTAATGACCATAGATTGACACAGCCTGACTAGTTCTAATGAAAAATGAAATAAAGATGAAAGTAATACAAATCAATCATAAACGAAAAGGACATGTCCATCATTAATTAATCATAGCTAAAGATCAGAGTCTCATATATATATATATATATATATATATATATATATATATATATATATATATATATAGTTAGGTAATGAAAAGTTTGGTAATCCGTATGGATAATCTCAAGGAGGATGTAATCCAGAGAGCTCAATGTCAAACGAGAGAAAATATTAATACGGATTGCCAAACATTTCTTTACCAAAACCATTTTTTATGCTTGAAATGTGATCTGATGAACCAGAAAAAAACACCTTCCTGGGGAAATAAAATATAATCAATGGACCCTTAAAAGCTTGTCTGTTTTCTAATTGAACTGATATATATATATATATATATATATATATATATATATATATATATATATATATTATTCCACAATCATTTTCCAAATTATTCAAGATGATCTTTGCATTCTCTAACCTTCCAACTTTCTGTTCTGGAGTAACAAGGCGTCTCACGTACGATTTCATTTTCAATTCTTTTTTCACTGCTCTTTGGACTGTTATAGCTGAAATTCCTCTCTCAAGTGCCATAGATTGAGTTGGATCTTTTCTAATTGATCTCTTTAGCTCTAAATTGAAATGATGATCCGTCTTCTTGTTGCGACCACCTGATCTAGTTTTCCTTTCTACCGTTCCCTTTCACTATTGATCATTTGGGAAGACAGTGGGGTTGATACAAAACAATTTTAACCTATTCTCTTTTTAGCTGAATAACTCAAAGTGTTTTTCAGTGATTCTTACGAAAAATGGCTAAACGTCTTATGTGAAAACCTGAAAAAAAGAAAAACTTAATTGGTTTAGTGTTTTTTCTTTTTTTTTTTAGATATTAAACATTTTGTGGGATGGACAATTATGCTGATACGTGATTTAGACAATTTTGCTGTAACACCCTGCATATATAGTGATTTTCCAAGCGTAGTTTTGATGTGGCACAAGACCGAAATTAGGTGACACCCAACGAGGATCGAATTCGCTACTCAGTCATAATTGTTTTAGCGAGGCAATCTTGCTAACCATTACACCGCCTCGAGGTGCCCCAACCTGCATATATATGAGATGGAGTCACTGTGCAATGTGTTGAATTTTGGTGAGGAAACTCAAGAGCTACCTCGATCAAAACACACACTAGTTACGCCAATTCTCTCTTTCTTTCTTTCTTTCTTTCTTTCTTTCTTAATCCTATTTTTTTTTTTTCAATTTTCAGGCACAAGGCTACGCACTAAAAGTCAAGAAAATACTCACTGGATTAGAGAAGGGAGAAGAACTTCTCAAAGAGAATGAAAGCTTTCTTAATCTCTGTTTAATTATCAAGAAAGGTTCACTCAAGGTTATAAAGAAACATTGATCAAAATAAATAACTGGTGATTTTCGTACATTAGACAATTGAAAATAAGACATTATCGTTTAAACAATAAATTAAAAAAGACATTATCATTTAAACAATAATTTAAAAAAACATTATCATTTAAACAAATAAATGTTATAGCGCATTCGTTCATTCGAACTGTTGTTTCCATCTTGCCTGTTTTTTGTTTTTTTAATACAGAATCTTTCGACCTCTGCACTGCTTCAACTCGTTCCACTCAAATTTTTCTTTTATCTGTCGTGCACCTTCAGAATGTGGGTGATTATGGTTCTCCACAACTTCTTATACCTGGTAAGGAAACCCTGTTCTGTCACCCGTTTTCAAACGTTCGTTACTCATGTTAATCATTGTTTCCTCTTTATCGTCAATATCTCTTGTGAGTGTCAAATTCTCCAAACCCCTCTTCTAATGATGGATCACAGAAATGTTAACTATCTCTTTCTGATTCTAAGAATAAGTGTATTTTTTCGTTTCCATTGTCCTTAAAACTACACATTCAGTCTATGTTATTCTTAGATGTGGTAGAACCAGGTCTCTGTTGTATAACAAAAATAAGGACATAACAGAATCAAGCATTAGTAATATTAAATAAAATCTTGATTAATGAGTTTCACGTTGTCCCCAGGTCTGTTGCCAAGGTGGGTATCTGCTCCCTTCAAGATAATCATTCTCTACCTGCGAAAATGATGCGAAATTTAGTGTGCAAATTCTGCCTGGTTAGCTCCCCGCAAAATATGACAACACTATTCCATTCTCAGCCTAATCTGGCTATTTTAAAGGCAGAGGATAGCATGCCAGCTCCGACCTAGCCGTGAAGATTAGACTTGGCGGAACCAAGGAATATAGTTTGTCTGAGCACTTTCCATGGAAGTAGAGATAGAGCAGTGATAGACATATTACATCCCACCTGTGAGAGAGAGAGGTTGGACGATGGAAAATAATTTGTCACCCATAAGGACTCGGAGACACTTTTGAACTCTATCGAGACTGGAAAGTGATGCCTGGGTAGCTCCCGCCAAAATATGACAACAGTGCTCCATTCTCGGCCTAATCTGGCTCTTGTAGATAGAGGATAGCATGTCCGCCCCCACCTCAAAACTCTCTGGCACCAACTAACTTAACGGAAGACCATCTTCATTCATTGATACTTCGTCATCTAAATAATTTTTAATAATACTTTTAACAACCGTACCTTTCTTAGAAGAATTATTTAGAGAAAAGAAAGACACGCAAGTGTGAGAAAATTTAAACGAATGTGAAAAAGGAGACAGTCGTGCTGAGAATATGATAAAAATACAGATCTATCTTTTCTAAAAAAAAGTTAACTTTTACTAAAAAAAGGTATTCAATAATTTCTACACGCTCGAGTGAGGACTAATCCCTTTCTCAACAGCAGCAGCAGCAGAAACGGAGTTTACATGCCGAGGTCGTCAATCCTTTCTTCCGAAATTTGCTACACGCCCGGATGTTGTCCAACCTCTTTTACAGCAACCACAGTAGCGGACTTTACACACCTGTTGTGATCAATCCTTACTTTGCTTGAGTGCCCTGTCCATTTCTGCACAAATAACAGTTGCTACACGTCTCGGTGATGTCTAATCCCTTTATCAATAGCAGCAACAGCAACAGTAGCAGCAACGTGTAGAGGACTTTACACGCCTGGTATGACCAATCGTTTCTCCGCTTCAGTGCTCTGTCCCTTTCTGCAGAGATCACAGCTACTACACGCCTGGATTATGTCTAATCCCTTTCTCAGCAGCAGCAACAGAAGCCGCAGTAGCAACGTGTAGCCGATTTTAGACGACTGGTAAGATTAAACCTTTCTCCTTTTGAGTGCTCTGTCTCTTTCTTCAGTGATCACAGCTACTACACGCCTGTGTAATGTCTAATCTCTTTCTCAGCAACAACAGCAACAGCAGAAGCGGAGTTCACAGGCCGAGACCATCAATCCTTTCTTCCGAAATTTGCAACACGCCAGCGTGTTGTCCAACCCCTTTTTCAACAGCAACAGAAGCGGATTTTACACACCTGGTACAGCCAGTCCTTTCTGAACTTCAGTAATCCGTTCCTTTCTGCCCAGATCACAGCTGCTGCACACCCGACTGACGTCTAATCCCTTTCTGACTTAGCAGTCAAAATTTTCCGTCTTATATAGCAAGCAAGTGTTTCAAAACTGGCTCAAAAGTGCAGATTCTTAGTTGGGTGCATATACCTTATATTCCCATTTGTTAAAAAATCAAGAATCACTATGCTGTAAATCCGCAAACTGCTTTCAATTCATATACCGTACCTATGAACACTAATGACTATGTCCCAATCCTCATAAATACGTTAGACACTATTGTAGTGTGTGTGTGTGTGTGTAGGGGGGGGTAATATGCTGTCTCAGTAGTACACAATTAGCAGTGGTTTACCTACTTCGCGCCGCTGGTGAGTATTGTATCTTGGTGATGTTATAAAGATTACCATTTCATTTCCAATCCCCGTTTTGGTTATTCCTCATTCAGTAACCTTTTCTAGATTACAACACATTTATAAAACGTCTGGATACATCTGGGTGTTTTTTTCTTCAAAGAAACCGTCTTAGTAACATTCTAATTTTCTTAATTAATTTTTCATACACTTTAATAACATCTTTCTTGCTAAAAAAATAATGTTTATATTAATTGTTACACATTTCAACATTTTTCATGCAGGTTTAACCTTTTGAGCCCTGACCACCGCTTTACCGGTGATAGAGAAAAATGACTTAATGTCTAACCACCAGTTGAACGGTGGGTAAACACTTGTAACTATTTTTATGTCTACCTTGAAAGATTACATACCAATTATTTACGAATTTTGATTCAGGGGCTCAGGCAGAAGGGTTGTTCAGGAACGCACTACTCAAAGGGTTAATATTATGTTTATTATTAAAATAATTTCTATATTCATTTTTACACAATTTCAACGTCTTAATTATTTTTTTCTCATATAATCTTAATATTATAGTTTTTATTAAAAAAAAATATTTTTTCTAAGGATAATCTTTCTTTCAACTGATCACTCTAGCTAAAGGAGTGAGAGAAATCGATGGTTATGCACTTTTAATATTTATTGGCTTAAAATTTTCTCATCTTACTCGAAACAGGAAAAAAACGTTTAGTCGGGATATTTCGTACTGGGTTAATTGTTTTTCTTTTGATGTTTTTGCACCTGCGATTATTTTTTGTGTGGAAAATACCCCTGACTTTTTTTTTTGTGTGGAAATTACCCCAAACAAAAATAAAAACATTGTTAGAAACAAAGAAAAGAGTGCTGGATTGCTACGTGTTATCCATCCTCTCATAAGGCAGTGAGTGCTGGACGATCTCCACACGGATGAGGAGAAAACTGGAGGCAACTGAGAAGGATACCGAAAATTCCATAGACGGAGCAAGTGAGAAATAAGGAAGTCTTAAAGAAAAATGGCAATGGAAAGTACTTATATTCAGAATCAGGAAAAGACAGCTGAAATTCCTTGGACACATAATGCGGAAGAAAGGATTGGAAAACTTAACACTCACAGGTCATAATGACAACCCGCTAGTGGCCCGCTGGCACGCCGCCGATGGCAACTCCAGTGGTTCTCTGGTGCCAGCCAACGGCGGGTCACTGGTGGGCCTTTAGCGGTTCACCAGGGGTAACATTGCCGAGAGGAACACCCAGGTGGTCCGACAGCGGGACACCAGCGGTAAACGCTAGTGGTATGCCACCCCGTGGCACATTGGTGGCTTGCGTGTAGGGGAAAAGCAAAGGCAAAGGCAACGAGCCACTTACATAACTCGCCTGTGTGAATGGATGGCCGAACGGTGGAAGGGAGGCTTAGCAAAGGTAGAAAAACTGCTAAAGGCCCCAAGGGATAGGAAGTTGTGGAGAACCATGATCACCTTGTCCCGAAGAGACGCGACACGAAAAAGAAGAAGAAAGGTAACGCAGAAGTAAAGGAGTGGGTGAGGTTTTTTTTTAGATCAAATGGCAACGAAACAGTGAATATGGTTTATCCAGGTACTGGTCTATATCAAGTCATGGTTGGGGATCGAGGAAGAGCTGGTCCGTCCTTAGCGGGAGACGGACTTGTCCATCGAGTGTCGTCCATTCTTATTGCAAGCCATCACACCGGAATGACTAGATGGATTAGGAACTCGTCGGGGGAAGAGCTGACTGAATAAATAAATATATTTATTCTAATAATAAAGTACATTGCCTTGTCTGCGATGAAAATGTATCCATTCCGAAAGAATACAATGTGGATGGTACTTTGAAACCAAGCATCGAATTTTCACATGAAAAGAGTATTACAGCAGACGGTTTGTTAAAGATTATTTCACATGAAAAGAGTATTACAGCAGACGGTTTGTTAAAGATTCTTGACACAGAACAAAAAGTAACCTATACAAAAATTACATTTCCAGGAATGGCAACCTTTCATTTTTGCATCACATCGTTACATGTGATGAATTTTCCATTTTCGTAATTGGCTTCGATAACTTTAACACGTTGTTTGATTGTTAATCTTTCCATGGTTGAACTTTCCAAAGACTTAAGTTATTAAATCTGAAAGAAAAAGAAATAATCATAAGACGCTTAAACTTAATTCACATTTAAAATAAGTCCAAGTTATTGGAACACACTTTATAGTCAAATAATAGGAAAAAAATGAATTTCTGTTTGAACGTCCATTTTCATAATAGGCTTAAATAACTTTAACACGTTTGGTTGTTAATCTTTCCATGGTTGAAATTGCGAAAGACTTAAGTTGTTAAAACTGAAAGAAAAAGAAAAAAATATATGACTAGACGCTTAAAATTAATTCACATTTAAAATCAGTCCACGTGATTGGAATACCCTATATATTCGCCATTTCTTACTGTATGAATTCTGAAAAGGCAATACTACTGGAGAGCCATTTATAATCGTTTGTGCAATTTATACGGATGCAATTGAAATTAGTATATGTCAGGTGTAGTTTAAAGGACTGTAAAATGCCGATTATGACATGATGATAATATGGACACCCACGTAGAAAGGAGCGGTTCGATCTCAAATATTTCTGTTTGATGGACTAGCAGATGGTTCCTTTTGAAGTTCGGTCTTCTAAGCGGCATCCGCTTTGACCGGAATGTAACGCGAAAGTAAAGGAGTGGATGAGGGTTTTTTGGAGAGCAAGTGGCAACAAAACAGTGAATATGCTTATCCAGGTACTGGTCTATATCAAGTCATGCTTGGAGATACAGGAAGAGCTGGTCCGCCCTTAGCTGGAGACGGACTTGTCCATCGAGTGTCGTCTATTCTTATTGCGAGCTATCATGCCGGTATGACTAGATGGATAAGGAACTGGTCGGGGGAAGAGTTGAGCTGAGCTGTTAGATCAACATACCAGAAGTTGTCCCGAGTATCACCTTACCTAACCAATCACCCAGCCAAACGAGTAGGTGAAGCCCTGAATAAAATATCTATTTTATAATATGGCAAACAGAGTTTACGTTCGTATTTCGCGACGTGGTGTTTGTTTTTCATTGTGTTAACTTGTGAGCATGCAACAGCATTTCACACCGATGAAATCCAGAATCGACAGGCAATGTGGAATAATCATTGGCCTGTCGGTGGAAAGCCTGGGTTGAGGTCACATTGTATGTTTACAACATAATCGACAAACCTCGACCCACAAGACAACATGCTCTGAATGAAGTACTTTTGAAAGAGACTATCGAATTGGATGTAGGTCAAAACATTAGAGATCTGGCACAAAAACTCAATGTGCCAAATTCAAGTGTCCACGGCCATCTCAAGTGAATTTGGGAAACTTGCAAAAAGGAGTTTGGCTTCTTCATATGTTTTTGCTTGAAAACACAATGTTCAGTTAGATAAGAGAAAATTGTGATTTCAAGGAATCGATGCCATTCATTTTTTCATCGCATTTTTAGATGTGATCATCTGCTCTGAATCGTAAAATAAAAATACAATAAAGCTAAAACATTATTTAATTAGAAAAGCTTTTAGTTGCTTTTATGAATAAGATATATTATGAACACTATTGTCTTAAGAAAAAAAAATCAGTGAATAATGAAGTTTTATAAGAATTGTTTTCATTTCTTTTTAAATAATTAGAATTTTAAATCTATTAAAATTCTGTATTAATTTGTGATGAAAAATGGGTTTTGCATGTTCACAGAGAACGCGAAAAAGACAGTGGTTATCACAAAATAAGAAACTAATACAAACGCCAAAACCAGGACTCAATCTATAGAAGTCTTTGCTTGGTGTCTGATGGAATATGAAAAATGTCATCCTTTACGATCTGATGGAACATGGAAGGACCATCACTGTAAATGTTTATTACTAGTAGTAACATGATCGAGTAAGCAAAACCTTACTTCGAAATTGTTTTGCTTTGGTGTTATCCTATAGTATGATAATGCAAGGATGCATTTTGCAAATATACCTGAATAATATAAAATCGTAAAAATGTGTGGTTCTTCCATACTCACCAGATTTAGCAGATATTACATTTTTAATATTAGGGAAATAAATTTAACTTACATTTCTGTAAGTTAAATTTATTTACATAATATCAAAAATGTAATCACATTCATTTTCAACGAGTGCAAGCAACAGAAAGACAAATTATCTATTCCGCATTTAAAGAAATCTAAGTTATTCTCTGGAAAAACGTTTGAAACGCTATTTTCAGCTTGTTCGGTTCTGAATGTTCTGATTCTTATGAAAGTTTGTCCGATTGAAATAAATGAAAATCTGTAGGTGATGGCCCTTCACTGTCCCAGCAGATCGTAAAGGATGACATTTTTCATATTTTTATATCCTATCTGTGAAAAAATAATTACTTTCCGAAAAACAAGCTAATATTACTTTTTTGTTCTTTTTTAAATATTTCATTGTTTTTTTATCCAGCAGTGTTTTAAAAACCATTTTATTTATTTTTTCACAAAAAAAGCCAAGTTATCTCCATTAGAACGGGGTGGGGAAGACGGCATTTTAAAATGCCGAAGAAAGACGAAATTATTTAAATGTCACCTATCTTTTTCGAAAATTTTTCTTGAAATATCGACTTCAAAGCGTGAAGCTTAATCAATCTCGAACGGGAAGCCGATAACAGATTATGTCATAGGAGCAAGGATTATTGATTGAAAACGACTCCCGAGTTACCAGAGTGCGTCAAGGAAGTGTCATTGGGAAAGAGGAGACAAGGAAATGTCTTCAAGGAAAGGATTTGCTTTTGAACAATGACAAACGACAGGAGAGGAAATATTAAATTAAAACAAAAATAGAAACGAGAACCGAATTCTGATTTTCGTTTCGCTACAGCTTTCTTCTATTTTTCTTATTGGTTTTGTTTTTTCCTCCTTTCTGAACTTTCCCTGCCATCTTTCCTTTTCTTTTTCATTCTATTCTTTTTGGCTTTCTCTTCTCTTTCGTTTTTCTCTCCTCTCCACTTTCTTTCTTTCTTTCTTTCTTTCTTTCTTTCTTTCTTTCTTTCTTTCTTTCTTTCTTTCTTTCTTTCTCATTCCTATTCCCATTTCGTTCTAATTCCTGTTCCCATTTCTTTCTTTCTTTCTTTCTTTCTTTCTTTCTTTCTTTCTTTCTTTCTTATTCCTATTCCCATTTCGTTCTAATTCCTGTTCCCATTTCTTTCTTTCTTTCTTTCTTTCTTTCTTTCTTTCTTTCTTTCTTTCTTTCTTTCTTTCTTTCTTTCTCATTCCTATTCCCATTTCGTTCTAATTCCTGTTCCCATTTCATTCTTTCTTTCTTTTTTTTTCTTTCTTTCTTTCTTTCTCATTCCTATTCCCATTTCGTTCTAATTCCTGTTCCCATTTCTTTCTTTCTTTCTTTCTTTCTTTCTTTCTTTCTTTCTTTCTTTCTTTCTTATTCCGATTTTTCTTTCTTTCTTTCTTTCTTTCTTTCTTTCTTTCTTTCTTTCTTTCTTTCTAACGCGTTAATATTCTGCTTATAACGACAGAAACTCAGACAGAGTTGTAATCCGAGCACCTAGGTGGTGCAATGACCTTTGAATTCACCCATCGCCGCTTGCCGCTTGCCGCTTGCAAGAATTAACGAAAAGTTACTTAATAAACGAAAATTATACTTGAATCGTTCATTAAAAGTCGGGTAAGTTTCTAAAAAGAAAAAAAAAATCATAACGGATTTCCAAGACTTGATGAACTCCATGATGATTGGTGCAATGCAGATTTACTCACCCTCACGTGGCCTTTTGCCATACTAAACTCGGCTTGGGAAATAACTAAAAGTTAGGGAAACAAATGCAACATCGAACGCGGATTTTAAAAGCGTTGAAAATTATGTTCCATGTCCCTTTATTACAATGCCGATCATGACTCTTCACGACTTCCTTTTTTATTTCAGTAAGATTTGATCCATTCGTTAAGTAGGTTTTTTCCCTGTTTCTCTTGCTTTCAGTATATCCTGCGAATATTAAATTCTCGAAGCTTTCTTTCCTCATTATGTATACCAGAAATTTTGATTTTAATTATGTGTTTCCTTATAGCTCCTTAAAACTTTCTCGTTCTTCACATATTTTATTTACGGTATTCTCTGCAGCCGTCCTTAGAATGATATTTCTGTCACTTGAATTCTCTTTACCACCTATGAAAAGATTGCCTAGTATTTATTGCCATATAGGAGATTAAAAAGATATGTATAATGTCTATCTGGCTAAAATCATCGATATTTCTTAGATACTACGTGTCACTCGAACAGGAATGCCAGTTAAGAAAATTGAAAATTGGAAATCGTTTAAAGTCTTCTTCAATTTCACTCGTTTTAACTTAGCAGTCCAAGAATGAATAAATCCCTTTATAGCAGATACCGCCACAGATTCGCTAAAAAATAAGCATACCATAATGAAAAAAATGCCCAAAACTTAATACAGTGTAACCCGGATATAAGAGAGTTGTCGGGACCGGAGAAGAAGTCTCTTATATCCAGGTTTGGTCTATTTTGTTTAGGTAAGTATGGGAACACTTTGGGACCAGAGAAAATCTCTCTTATATCCGGGTTTCTCTTATATCCGGGTTACACTGTAAAAACAAAATTTTATCGTCGAAGTCTTTATGTTATTATTAAAAGGAAAGACAAAATAAATTTTTTGATTATTAAATTATATTTTTTTATCTTTTTTAGAACGTTAGAAATTTTGGTTAAAGATTCTGTTTGTCTTGCGTTAATGTGGTGGTTGGGGGGTACCAACCAAAGATTTGTATAGGAAATGTTAGCGTCTTTTTTTTTGCGGCGAAAAACACATTGAATTGGAAATTCATGCAAAAATCAAATAATTGCATTTTAATGAAGCTTTCAGGACCTATTCACAATTTAACTAAATTACTTTAGAAATGTTTCTTGTTTAGAAAATCTTGGTAAAAACAGCTTCTTACATCTGTTACTATTCCATTTATTTAATTTTATAAAATTTCGGGAAATTAATTTTTGTACCATTTAATCTTTATATTAGTTATACGGAGAAATCCTTGAATTTAATCATCATTTGTTTTTATAAAACAGGGCCTCCAGTTACCGAAAATCTGCTCTGAATCGTAAAATAAAAAATGCAATAAAGTATTATTTAATTAGAAAAGCATTTAATTACTTTTATGAATAAAATATATTATGGACATTGTCTTAAGAAAAAATTTTTCATCTTTTAAAACATTTAATTGGAATTTTAAATCTTTTAAAATTCTGTATTAATTTGTACCGGTTAGGTTTTCATTAAGTAAACAACTGTATTTACAAATCATAAATGGGAAAGCTTACTACAATTCAGTGAACTCCAATATTTTAAAAAGAATTTTGAATCTGTGTGTGTGTGCCTGTATAAACGTGCCGATTTTTGTAAATACGGACGTCTATACACGATCAGAAAATAAGAGCGGTAAGTATAGTTGCAATATATCGTACACTAATGGGTATGTCCCAATCCTTATAAATACGTTAGACACTATTGTTAGCGGGGGTAATATGCTGTCTAAGTAGTCCACCATTAGCAGTGGTTTACCTATTTCATGCCGCTGGCGAGTATTTTATTTTGTTAATTTTATAAAGATTGCCATTTCATTTCCAACCTTTCCAATTCAGTAACTTTTCATAGGTTACAACAATCGTAAATTTAAAGCTAAAGTCCCTAAAATTCAATAAAATATTAAATTACAGAGAATATTTTCCTAAATTTTCAAGATTAGTAGGTAGTTAAAAAATTATATAAAAAGTTGCTCATGTTATATTCCTCAAGTAATTTTTACAGATATATCCCTTGTAGAAAAAATTACATGATTGTCTGTCTGTCAACACATAATCAAAACACCTACCTCTATCAAAAAATACATTTCTGCGATATTTTAAACTAAATATTTGTTTTAAATCAGATTAATTAAATTTTAAATAGGCCGAGTCGTTAGAACGTTCGCATTCTGAACATGGGACCCGAGTTCGAATCTCACCATGGTCGATTTGTCAGGAAGGAAACATCCTGATGTTAATGAACTGGAGGGTTCGATCCCAATGTGCGGCACCTTTGGAAAATGCCTGAAAACTATACCACGTGTTGACCCAAGCCTTGTGAGTGAAATTGGGTAGACAGAACCCTTGAGGGCCGTCGATAGCTTTTCTAGCACAAAGTCACACGGTATTGTGGCCGAAGGCTTGAGCGTGCTAGTCTTGTTCAAATTGTTGATCACGTTAGATAACACGCTCTTTCCCAGAAACTGTAACTAAGGTCTGCTCAGCATAGTTGCGGTATAAACCACAGGTGGGCTCTGTGGGTATTGAATAAACACAAATGCACCTGAGCAAGTGTCTGTAATAGGGATTGGCTATCCGCCCTAGTAGATGGTGGCCACCTGTATACATACAAATCGGTTCATCTTCCTCAAATAATAATATACTATTTTAGGAAGATTTTTTTAATAAAGAGAATGACAGATGCGTTAAAATGGATAAAATCAGCTAATTTTAGCGATTAAAAAAAAACTTCTTCCAGTCGATTTAAATTAATTTTGAAATACAAGAAAGTATTTTGCTTCTTGGAAATATCAACTTTAATCTTTTAGCTTGAAAGTAAAATTAAAATAAAAGATCCAGGAAAGATTTTTCAATTTTAAAATTCATTTTAAACCTTAGGTATTGCGTTTCTTTGGGGGTACCCACTTTATAGGTTGTAGGGGTTTTTAACTCAACTAGGGAATCGATGTAAATTTCTCTTCGGTTCCAATGGATTTAGCATTTATAGGTCGTCGTCCGTAACATCAAGGTCATGTAACGTCAGCCATATCGCAGCAGTAACCATGGCACCGGCTTCATCAGCTGATTACTGTTTATCAAATGTCTCAAGTGATTTGTTACCATGACACGGGGAAGAGCGGAGATTTGAAACGCGCAAACTAACTGCGTCAGACAACTGGTATTAATTGACAGAAACATTATTAATTTAACAAAGGGGAGGGCTACTTTTTTTTTTTATAAAGGAAAACAAAAACTTGATCTAGTGTTAAAAAAGAATCTACACACAACTTAATTTTTTTTAATCAAAATGTACCAAGTGACATTTGTTATACTTATTTACTCAAGCTGAGTCTGGCACAAGGCTAGATGCGTGTGAAACCGAGTACGTGTCGAACTCAATTCAACTTAGCAATCGCCTACTAGACAAGGTCGTTATTACCTGCATGGAAAAGAGAAGTATTTCTTATAGATACTTACTATGCCTGCCCAAAGATTACAAGCGTGGCTTGATCTGTTTATTTTTTCCAGCTTACCAAACTTTTACAGGTTTCAGGAAATAGTTTTCGATTTTAAGATTTTTTTTTACAAGTCTTAGTAATTAACCCATAGATGGGGTGGAGAATAAGTGATTTCATAACTTTTCTCAATTGTATTTGCATGTAAGTAAATATAACGAACCCCACTGAAATTGAAACCCGGCTCTTCGTTTTTCCAATTCTGAACCGTTATCCACTACACCATCTGCACATCCAAGCTTATAGCACCTGGTATTCCCATGTAGTACTGACCACGCTCGACGTTGCTTAACTTCGGTGGTCGCGCGAGAACCGCTGTTTCAACGTGATATGGCCGTAAGCCCGCAAGTGTGAAACAACCAGCGAGTACACGATATACAGTAGCAATGACAATTAAGACTAGTTCGCTAACCATTGCTCCACGGTGAGGCACTTTTACAAAGTGGAGATACAGTGAGAATCGAACTCATTACGTAAGCGAAATGATCTGCGAGGCGGGCTGTCTCATCACGCTATGGTGGGGGACAACTCTCCGTTCTGAAACGAGAATAAAAAAAAAAGACCGTTTATATTGACGGGACGGTTAACATTTCTCTATAGACAACGCAAAGGCCTTCGACAAAGTACGCCACAATGATCTGCTAGAACTGCTCAGCGACCTTGATATATTCAGGAAAGATATTAGAATAATCAAGAACCTATACTGGCAGCAAACGGCTTGCATGCGCATTGAGAATGAGTTCAGCAGATATACAAAAATAGAAAGGCAAGGATGTGTCTTCTCACCGGGCTTAGTCAACCTGTACAGCGAGGCAATTGTGATAGAATTGGAGATCCTACCAGGATTCATCAATGGCGGCCACAAC